GTATTAGGAAGCTTTGTGTTCATCTCAGAGGTCTCTGAGACTGTCCTCAGTTTTTTTCTTTCTTTTTTCTTTATTCTGCTCTGCAGTAGTTATTTCCACTATTTTATCTTCCAGGTCACTTATCCGTTCTTCTGCTAACCATTATTCTGCTATTGATCCCTTATAGAGTATTTTTAATTTCATTTATTGTGTTGTTCATCATTGCTTGTTTCCTCTTTAGTTCTTCTAGGTCCTTGTTAAATGTTTCTTGCATTTTCTCTATTTCCAAGATTTTGGATCATCTTTACTATCATTATTCTGAATTCTTTTTCAGGTAGACTGCCTATTTCCTCTTCATTTGTTAGGTCTGGTGGGTTTTTACCTTGCTCCTTCATCTGCTGTGTGTTTTTCTGTCTTCTCATTTTGCTTATCTTACTGTGTTTGGGGTCTCCTTTTCGCAGGCTGCAGGTTCGTAGTTCCCGTTGTTTTTGGTGTCTGTCCCCAGTGGCTAAAGTTGGTTCAGTGGGTTGTGTAGGCTTCCTGGTGGAGGGGACTAGTGCTTGTGTTCCGGTGGATGAGGCTGGATCTTGTCTTTCTGGTGGGCAGGTCCACGTCTGGTGGTGTGTTTTGGGGTGTCTGTGGCCTTATTATGATTTTAGGCAGCCTCTGTGCTAATGGATGGGGTTGTGTTCCTATCTTGCTAGTTGTTTGGCATAGGGTGTCCTGCACTGTAGCTTGCTGGTCGTTGAGTGGAGCTGGGTGTTGGTGTTGAGATGGAGATTTCTGGGAGATTTTCGCTGTTTGATATTACGTGGAGCTGGGAGGTCTCTTGTGGACCAGTGTCCTGAAGTTGGCTCTCCCACCTCAGAGGCACAGCACTGATGCCTGGCTGGAGCACCAAGAGCCTGTCCTCCACACGGCTCAGAATAAAAGGGAGAAAATAGAGGAAGAAAGAAAGAAAGAAAGAGGATAAAATAAAATAAAGTAAGATAAAATAAAATAAAGTTATTAAAATAAAAAATAAGTATTAAGAAAAAAATATTTTAAAGTAAACAAAAAACCAGACGGACAGAACCCTAGGACAAATGGTGGAAGCAAAGCTATACAGACAAAATGTCACACAGAAGCATACACATACACACTCACGAAAAGAGGAAAATGGGAAAAAATAATCTATCTGGCTCCCAAAGTCCACCTCCTCAATTTGGGATGATTCGTTGTCTATTCAGGTATTCCACAGATGCAGGGTACATCAAGTTGATTGTGGAGCTTTGATCCGCTGCTTCGGAGGCTGCTGGGAGAGATTTCCCTTTCTCTTCTTTGTACTCACACCTCCCGGGGCTCAGTTTTGGATTTGGCCCCGCCTCTGCGTGTAGGTCGCCTGAGGGCGTCTGTTCTTCGCCCAGACAGGACGGGGTTAAAGGAGGAGCTGATGCGGGGGCTCTGGCTCTATCAGGCTGCGGGGAGGGAGGGGTACGGATGCGGGGCGAGCCTGCGGCGGCAGAGGCCGCCATGACGTTGCACCAGCCTGAGGCGCGCCGTACGTTCTCCCGGGGAACTTGTCCCTGGATCCCGGGACCCTGGCAGTGGCGGGCTGCACAGGCTCCCCGGAAGGGGTGTGTGGATAGTGACCTGTGCTCGCACACAGGCTTCTTGGTGGCGGCAGCAGCAGCCTTAGCGTCTCATGCCCGTCTCTGGGGTCCGCGCTTTTAGCCGCGGCTCGCTCCCGTCTCTGGAGCTCCTTTAAGCCTCTTGTCTCTTCGGCAGCTGCAGACTTTTCCCCGGACTCCCTCCTGGCTAGCCGTGGTGCACTAACCCCCTGCAGGCTGTGTTCACGCTGCCAGTCCTCTCCCTGGGATCTGACCTCCGAAACCCCAGCCTCAGCTCCCAGCCCCGCCCGCCCAGGCGGGTGAGCAGACAAGCCTCTCGGGCTGGTGAGTGCCAGTCGGCACCGATCCTCTATGCGGGAATCTCTCCGCTTTGCTCTCCGCACCCCTGTGGCTGCGCTCTCCTCCGTGGCTCCGAAGCTCCCCCGCTCCGTCACCCGCAGTCACCACCCGCGAAAGGGCTTCTAGTGTGTGGAAACCTTTCCTCCTTCACAGTTCCCTCCCACTGGTGCAGGTCCCGTCCCTATCCTTTTGTCTCTGTTTATTCTTTTTTCTTTTGCCCTACCCAGGTATGTGGGGAGTTTCTTGCCTTTTGGGAGGTCTGAGGTCGTCTGCCAGCGTTCAGTAGGTGTTCTGTAGCAGTTGTTCCACATGTAGATGTATTTCTGATGTATCGGTGGGGAGGAAGGTGATCTCCGCATCCTACTCTTTCGCCATCTTCTCCAGTCAGCCTATGTGCATCTAATATATGAGTATTTTTGTTATTTGTTGCATTTACATGGCACAGGGATTTATTCCAGCCAAGTTCACTAAGGCAGAATCCCACGCCCCTGCTTTCACAAAATGAGGTCTCCTGAAGGTTGCCACTCAACTTTCTAAGTCCTGGGAGTAGCAGGCCTGCATGCCTTTGCTGGGCTTTACTGTGCTTGTCTGTAGCCGCCTGGGAAGTCAGTCCTGGAAGGATTTTCAGAGCAGAATTCCAGAGCATCTTACCCGAGACAGTGGATTAGAACCGGTGCCAATTAGACTTCTTTGGGAGAGCTTTGACCTGGCTCCTGACTTCCCAGCTGCTTGGTCCTGTCTAGGTTCCTTTAGGACAGGCTCTACCACCTTTTAGACCTACCATGCCCGTTATTCTTTTATTCACTCAAATTTAAACCTATTAAAGAACTTTAGAGCTGAAGAGACCATACACACTGAAGTTGACTTGGAGAAGGTTGCCACAAACCAGGCTGGCATGTAAATAGTTTAAGATAAGATTCATCAGCTGAAAATAAAGGAAAAGTGGTGGTAGTAGTGAATGTGCTTCTTGCCTTTGCCAGTGTGGGGTTGGGAGAGAAGTGTTTAGGTTTGCTCAAGGCTGGGAAGTAGAAAGGAGGCTTGTCACAGCCTGGGGGCAGGATCCATCTTCCAGGCTAGCTGTTGGGGTAACTTTATTGCTGCCAGCTGGGAAGTAAGTGCAGGAAGACTTCTGGATCTGAATTCCTGTGGATTCATAACTTACCCCTTTGAATTCTCCTATGACTTCAGCTCTGTGGGGATGCATTTGGGATAATAAGGCAGGAAACAAGTGTGAGATAGTATTGATATCTTCTCCTCAGAGGGCCAGGCATCAGAAAAAGTGGCTATGCCAGCTTGTATGCTACATCCAGAAGCATTCTCTGGACAGGATAGTAAGATGCTTGGCCTTCCCCAACTTCAACTTTTAAACTTTGTTCACCCTGTTTTATTTTTGGTGAGGAGTCTTGTTAAGGCAATTCTGGAGTATCATATTTAGTATCATTTCATTTTAATCAATTTTTGATATTATTTAATGTTGATCTGTTCAAATTCTATCTGTAAGAAGTGTTTTTAGAAAACTTACCAAATTCTTTGTTTCTATTAGAACATTATACAGCGTGACTTTAAGCAGTGGAAACTTGTGTATGAAAGCCTTTAATTTCTTCAAAAATATTTTTTCAAATATTAAAAAAAAAATCTTTATTATGTGAGTTTTTAGTACATCCAAAACAAGAAATAGTTGTTTCAAAAAATTGACAGTCTTGGGCTTCCCTGGTGACGCAGTGGTTGAGAATCTGCCTGCCAGTGCCGGGGACACGGGTTCGAGCCCTGGTCTGGGAGGATCCTACATGCCGCGGAGCAACTAAGCCAGTGCACCACAGCTACTGAGCCTGCGTGTCTGGAGCCTGTGCTCCGCAACAAGAGAAGGCCGCGACAGTGAGAGGCCCCTGCACCGTGATGAAGAGTGGCCCCCACTCGCCGCAACTAGAGAAAGCCCTCGCACAGAAACGAAGACCCAACACAGCCATAAATAAATAAATAATAAAAAATTGACAGTCTTTAGGGCTTCCCTGGTGGCGCAGTGGTTGAGAGTCCACCTGCCGATGCAGGGGACACGGGTTCGTGCCCCGGTCTGGGAAGATCCCACATGCCGCGGAGCGGCTGGGCCCATGAGCCATGGCCGCTGAGCCTGTGCGTCCGGAGCCTGTGCTCCGCAACGGGAGAGGCCACAACAGTGAGAGGTCCGCGTACCACAAAAAAAAAAAAATTGACAGTCTTTAGAATGCTTTTTAGGTAACGAAGAAGTGAAATGCTCAGCACGTGGAGAAAAAAGTTTAAGTAAATGCCTAATTATGCTCAAAATAGTCAGCAGAACAAGCAGTTATATAGGCTGACTTCTTTGGGAGAGCCCTAACTCTTCCCAGGGCAAAGCCCATTTCCACTTTCCTGCAGCTCTTCTCTATGTACAACAGCTTCTTCCCCCTGTGAGACTGGGTCATAATTGCTTAGCTCGCCCTCATGGGCCTGAAATTGGGTTTTAGGGTTAGTTTTGTTATTACTCCGTAGTCATTTTGAATGCCTCTAGTACCTGTAGATTTGGAAACTGGCCATGACTTTAACCACTGGTTTTATTCAGCTGGTAAATGTTCTTATTAAAATTTATGTTATTTTTGGGTTTTCAGAGGGTTATTCAGCTCAGAGCTACTTTTGATAAACCTTTCTAGAAATATTCTCTATGAACTTTGAGATTCTTCAAATTTTTATCTGTTTAGGAAGGTGAGCCTTCTGGAAAGAGAAAAGCAGAAGATGATGATAAAGCAAATAAAAAGCACAAGAAGTACGTGATCAGTGACGAAGAGGAAGAAGATGATGATTGAAGTAGAAAATGTGAGAACTTTATGTATTTTATTGTACAGTTTGTTTTATAAATATGATGTAAACATGAATTATTTTGACTGAAATAAATTGATTTGCTTTTGAGTAATTTTAATTGTAATAAAAAAATTTAAAAAGCAGGTCTCTGTTCAAGAAATTGACCCCTCCCAAAGCAGGCTGATTTTGTTAATGCCTTACACTAATTCTTAGGTTTTAGTGAATTCCTCCCAGGCCCCACAGAGAAGCCTTGCAAGGGCCAGGTGAAGCGAGTGAGGGATTCTTCTGGGGTGCAGAGTTTTAAAAGGGGCGCAAAAAAGCCTCCGTAATTGTATTCATTTGCTAGGTCTGCTGTAGCACAGTACCACAAATTGGGTGACTTAATACCACAGAAACACATTCTCTCACAGTTCTGAAGCCTATAAATCCTAGATAAAGGTGTCGGCAGAGCTGTGCTCCCTCTAAAGGGAAGAATCCTTCCCTGCATTGTCCTAGCTTCTGGAGGATCCCACTAATCCTTGGCTCGTAGCAGCATAACTCCAATCTCTGCCTCTGTCTTCACATGGCTTGTTCCCCTGTGTGTCTGCTCTGTGTCTCTCTGTGTCTCTGCTCTGTGTCTCCAGATCCCACTCTCCTTTCAGGACACCCATCAATGGGTTTAGGGTTAACCCTAATCCAGTGTGACCTCATCTTAACTAATTACATCTGCAAAGATCCTATTGCCAAATAAAGTCACATTCTGAAGTTCTGGGTAGATATGAATTTTGAAGTGTCCCTATTCAGCCCACTACAGCAATCAAGTTTAATAATACCGTAATACAACATTTAAAAAAATTAAAATTAATGTAAAAATATGATGAATAAAATGTCAAAAATTTAAATAAAGATGATCTGACAGGGCTGGGATTAGGGTAAGCCAAGTGAGAAGAGTGGCACAAGTACAAAACTGGATAGATTGTCTCTTTATTTGAAATTTTGATGTTTTGTTTATGGGAGTGTTTTGCATGGAGTTTAAAATGTATTGCAATATTATTTACCTTGATCACTAAGATTCTGGCACCACTTATATTTTTCACCAAAGTGAGTATCTCACATGTTGCGTCCTAGTTGTAGCCCTGCTTTCGCACAGCATGGTGGCTGGGTTCTAATGGCGAGCACCCCAAGAGAGCTGTATTATCTTTTTTCAAAATCCACCACATTCTGTTCAATAGAAGTGAGTCACTGATGTGAGCTCATATTCAAAGGGAGGGAAGTTTGACTCCTCTCGATGGTAGAAATGGCAAAGAATTAGCAGATATATTTGAAATCCATATTTAAGATATCTATTTGTCTTTTCTGCAGTGCTCTTCTACACAGCCTAATCTTTCCCTTATGAACGGACTAGGCCTGTTAATACAATCTAGGAGGGGTGGCTTGTGGGAGGCTCTTCTGAAGCCTGGTTAGAGAGAAGTGACATTGAAAGAGAATAAGGTCCTAACTCACCACTGTGTCACTCTCCTAAACTCAGAAACCTTCAGTCCCTTGCTGTTTCTTGGTTTATCAAGTTGAAACTCCGATGCCTGGCTCTTGAGAGCCTTCATTTTGACTCTGTCCTTTACAAGGCAACATTGTTTTTTCACTAGCAGACACATATGTGACAGTGATTGAGCTCTTGTCTCTTGTCTCCAAACCTGCCCTTCTCTACAGAGCTTGGCTATGCAGAGCCAAGGCTCTGCAAGCACATTTCAGCTTTGCCAGCTGCCCCCTGTTAGGGGGCGCCAGAGGGAACTGGGAGCCTGAATAACAAAGAAAAGATTCCTCCTTCCTGTTTGTTTATGGAACTTTTCTGGGGGCTTCCTGTTGACCTCCATTCTTTCTGAGGGGGCTCAGCAGCAGCAGTAGTTTCTTCCCACAGCAGCTCAGTCCGGTTTGCAGTTTACCAAGACTTGAAGAGGCAGCTTCATTGTACTCCCGAGAGACATCAGTACCAGCAGGACACTTCCCTTCCTCAGGTATGTTTCAGCTCCAAGGGGCCCTGTCTGTAAGTTTGTAAGTTTAATAATAATTGTAACTTTCCCCTTTGTTCCCTCATCTCTAGGGGTGGAAGTTGCTCTCTGAATTTGCTAATTCTGTGATCCCTTAGGGAGTCCTCTTTGTACTTTTTGTAACCAAATCAACAACTTTAAACCTAATTACAATTTTTAAAAAATACTAAGATCTATCTGTGTAGACAACTGGTATGTTTTCTGTTGCCCAACTTGGACCTGACTGGGTAGTCCAGGAAGCAAATCCTCAAAGATGAGATGTGTAGATTGGTTTGGGTCTGAGCTCCTCACCAATGGGAAACAGGATGCTGGTGGTGCCTTGGCATCATGATGAACCAGATTATCCCCTGTGATTGAGGGCTCAAGCGGCTGCTACACTTGTTAGGCGGTCCTGATGACTAAGGACTGTGGTGTGGGTTGGATGCTTCTGAGTGCCCTGGAGCACTTACAGAAAGTCGACAAGCTTAGGTTAGTTTTGGTTTGTTTTTAAACTTTATTGAAGTAGAGTTGATTTACAATGTTGTGTTAATTTCTGCTGTACAGCGAAGTGATTCAGTTATACATATATATTCTTTTTCATATTCTTTTCCATTAGGGTTTGTCACAGGATACTGAATATTGTTCCCTATGCTATACAGGAGGGCCTTGTCGTTTATCTGTTCTCTATATAATAGTTTGCATCCACTAATCCCAAACTCCCATTCCTTCTCCCCCCACACCTCTTCCCCCTTGGCAACCACAAGTCTGTCCTCTATGTCTGTGAGTCTGTTTCCGTCTTGTAGATAGGTTCCTTTGTGTTGTATTTTAGAGTCCACATATAAGGGATGTGGTATTTGTCTTTCTCTTTATGACTTCACAGAAGCTTAGGTCTTCAAACATTCTGCTCAAGTCATGGTCAGAGAACCAGGGAGCACTTGTGACAGCCCTAAAGGAATCTCATATCTTGTAGTCAGAGGGCTGAGGTAGCTGAAAATCAAACGCATGTAATTGTGTGGTTGCAGAACTACAACATCAACTGAATTCACAGCCTCTTCAAGTCTCTCATGTGAAAGGGTATTGATTGAGAAAGAAACTAGGAATGGGGATTTCTGTTTAGACTCAGATAAAGCTGAAAAACAAATTTTCTAGTCCCTCTGAGCCTGCCTTGCCTGTGAGAAGCAGTCTGCCTTCCTATATCTGAGGAAACAGGTTTTTTTAAATTGACATATAGTTGATTTACAATATTATATTTCAGGTGTACAAAATAGTAATTCAAATATTTTTATAAATTATATTCCATTTAAAGTTATAAAATATTGGCTATAGTCCCTGTGCTGTACAGTATATCCTTGTAGCTTATTTATTTTATCCATAGTACTTTGTGCCTCTTAATCTCCTTCCTCTATTTTGTCCCTTCCCCCTTCCCTCTCCCCACTGGTAGCCACTAGTTTGTTCTCTACATCTGTGAGTCTGTTTGTTTTGCTATATTCACTGGTTTGTTTTATTTTTCAGATTCCACATATAAGTGATAACATACAGTATTTGTCTTTCTCTGACTTATTTCACTAAGCATAATACCGTGTAGGTCCATCCATGTTGTTGCAAATGGCAGAATTTCTTTCTTTTTTATGGCTGAGTAGTATTTCATTGTATACATACCACACCTTCTTTATCTGTTCATCTGACGATGGACAGGTTGCTTCCATATCTTGGCTATTGTAGATATTGCTGCTGTGAACATTGGCATGCACATATCTCTTTGAATTAGGGTTTTTGTTTCAGATATATACCCAGGAATGAAATTACTGGATCATATGGTAGTTCTATTTTTAGTTTTTTGAGGAACCTCCATACTATTTTCCGTAGTGGCTGCACCAATTTACATTCCCACCAACAGCATACAAGGGTTCCCTTTTCTCCATATTCTCCCCAACATTTGCTATTTGTAGACTTTTTTTTTTTTTTTTTTTTTTTTTTTTTTGTGTGGGGCCTGTCCCTTTTTTTTGTTTTCCCATTGCAGAGCACAGGCTCCGGACGCGCAGGCTCAGCGGCCATGGCTCACGGGCCTAGCCACTCCGCGGCATGTGGGATCTTCCCAGGCTGGGGCACAAACCCGTGTCCCCTGCATTGGCAGGCGGACTGTCGACCACTGCGCCACCAGGGAAGCCCTTGTAGACTTTTTGATGGTAGCTGTTCTGACAGGTGTGAGGTGATAGCTCACTGTGGTTTTGATTTGCATTTCCATGAATGATTAGTGATGTTGAGCGTCTTCGTGTGCCTGTCGGCCATGTGTATGTCTTCTTTGGAAAAATGTCTATTCATGTCTTCTGCCCATTTTTAAATCAAGTTTTTTGATTTTTTGATACTGAGTTGTATGAGCTGTTTATATATTTTGGATATTAACCCCTTATCGGTCCTATCGTTTGCAAACATTTTCTCCCATTCAGTAGGTTGTGAAACTAGTCTTCTTGCTTGAAAATGCTGTAGTAACATCACTTGGGGCAGTCTGCATTCCCCTCAAGAATCACCCAGCTGAGTGCTGTCTGACCTACTTTTTACCAGCAGACCCATCACTAGGATCTCATCATACTCTGGCAAAGAAAGCACAAACTCTGACTGAAGAAGAAATAACTTACACACCAAAAGAATTGCAAGATTTTGCTATTAAATATGAGCAAAAGCCTGGGGAATGTGTGTGGACGTGGATTCTAAGAATGTGAGATGAAGGACAAACACTAACTACCTTGGGCCAAATTTACTGATACGGGTGCACTTATATCGATATATTCTGGATTTGATGTGTTAGGACATATAGCTGGACATGGCTCTATACTTGACTGGTTCACCAAAAAAACTCAGTGGTGGCCTTCATTTAATGAAGTTGAGATACCAAAGCTTCCCTGGCTTTGTGCAGAGGGAATTCAAAGACAGGGAGATAGGAGTGTCAGAGTAGACATATTTTGTGTGACTTGCATACCATCCCCCACCTTCCCTAACTACATTCATTGAGAGCGCCAGCTTAAAACAACAAACATTTACTATATCTCACCGTTTCTAAGGGTCAGGAGTGGTTTAGCACTGGCTCAGGGTCTCCCACAAGGCTGCAATCAAGATGTTGGTTGAGACTGTGTTATTTAAAGGCCTGCCTGGGGCTGAAGGATCTGTTTCCAAGATGGTTCACTCCCATGGCTCTTGGCAGGAGACCTCAGTTTGTCACTGCATGAGCCTCTCCACAGCAGTTTGAGTGTCTTCACATCACAGCAGCTGGCTTCCTCCAGAGCAAGTGACCCAAGGGAGAAAGAGCAAGGCAAAAAAGCCACAATGTCATGCAGAGCCTTGGAAGTGAGCCTGTATTCTATTGATCACATAGACCAACCGTGATACCTGTGGGAGAGGATCACACAAGGGCAAGAATACCAGAGGCAGGGATCCCTGGGATCCATCTTGAAAGCTGGCTATCACAGCAGCTTGGCCTTCCACCAGCTAACTTTGCTGTTTCCCTTCCCTGTAGACACTCTTGTGAGGCTTCTGAGGGCCAGGCTCAGGGAGCCAGTCTGATCATGGTTTAGTGGAGGTTTGGTTTATGAATCTTGGGAATATGTTGAAGTGATGGGCTAAGAACTGTGTGAAGAACTTCAGTGAGAGAAATTAATACTGTGCATTTTTCCCCCAACATTGAAGATTATAGTGGGACCATGGATCTGTTTGGAGACATAGATGACATTTCTTCAGAGAGTGACAGGGACAATCAGCCACCCATTTCAGGACAGCCTGTTACTGTAAGTACAATAACAAATCTCAACTGAGCCCATTGTTCAAAGTTAAGAAAAAAGTTTCAGAGGCTGATGGGTCATGTAGGGAGGGGACATGGATAATGAATAGCAGTCTGAAACATCTGATGAATGGGTGACTTTCTTAGCTATGTTGGGAATTTCTGGATATTAAAGGGAATAGAAGGAATTGCTCAGAATGAATTTGATGCCAAACTTTAGGGGCTAGACTGTGAGGATGCATAATTTGAAAACCTTTTATTTAAAAGTTTTTCTTATTTACACATGTGCCAAGAAGTGTGTACTATTTGACATTCTTCTCTGATTTTAATACTTACTTAGCATTGAGGGGTTGCATAATTTCACACATCTGTTGCTAAATATCTTATGCAAGCTAGATATGTCAACATTTTTTCTGGTAATGCAGAGGCTAACAGGTCTTGTTTTGCATGGTGGTTTTTTTGGGGGGGTGGGGAGAGGATGAAATTTTAAGGAGAGGCCTGGAGGGGTTGCCAACTGCTTTACCTCTGAAGGGGTGTCCAAGTTTACTTCTGGTCACACCTGCATCTGCCTAGTGCAGAAGGAGAGCTAGAGCATTTCCAATGTCAACTCAGGCTCTCACATTCTGATTCTCTTCTTAGGATGGACGTGGAGTGCCTCAGGACCAGCAGGAGGAAGAGCCAATTTCTGAAACCAAAATAGAAGTAGAAATTCCCAGCATCAACTATGATTTAGGAAATGAATTGTACTTTGTTAAACTACCCAAATTTCTCAGCATAGAACCCAAGTAAGAGGACTGATTAAAGGTTTTTTTTTCCCCCCCAAGATATTGAGTAAAAACATGTGGAATGTAAATGTTTTTCTTATTTATAATGAGTTGGCTAATCACAGAGGTGGGAGATTTCTCATGTAACTCTGAAAAAATAAACTTAGAATGTGCTGTGGTAGAAAATGATGAATTACTGGTGTGAGAAAGTTTTAATGCTAATAATTCTTCTAGCACTTTGGCACTTTCTTATAAATGAGCAGACATAGCTGATGAAGGTATTTTTCACTATCATAAAGCTGAAAAATTGGAAAATGAGAGTGAGAAAGTTTTCTAGAGAAATCACAAATGTTCAGTGCAAAAGCCTTTGTGAATCTAGAAACGACCACAATTTTAGACAACAAAATAGTGTTGATGGGTATTATTCACGATGGTGCACTATTGCAAGCTCTTATGCAATTAAACATGACACTTTTCTTAAAAAATATGAAGAGATAGATCATGTGTCACCTATACTTTAGAGGACATACGTCACCGAACAAAAATATAATTTAAAAACTTCGAACTATTAGTCACATTTGGATTTTATTTCAGGTAATATGTTTTAAAATCAAATTTCAAGGAAGTACAGTAATTTGCATACTTTTTGAAGTTTTACATGAAGTTATTTGTCTACTGTGATTTTTTTAACATATTAGTGCATGTTGTAAAGATTATTTTATACATTAATTATATTCAATACTAAAGATGGCTAATACTACATTAAAAAACAACTTTTAGGCCTTTTGATCCTCAGTATTATGAAGATGAATTTGAAGATGAGGAAGTGCTTGATGAAGAAGATAGAACCAGGTTAAAATTAAAGGTACCATTTCACACTTTATTCCTGTGGGGTTTTTTTTGAGTTTTTCCTTTTATAAAGTAAAACACAGGGGTAACAATTTGAGACCAGCTTATAAAATGATCTTTATGTTTATTGTCATAAACAATCAACAAATAACTGCTTAGAACAAGGAATTAAATATCTTTTCAGAATATTTTTAGAGGAGAAGGTATATATCCTTTTTAAAAAATCCTTGTAGAATTGTCACTTTTTTAACCTTTCTTTTGCGGTTGTAATTTTTCGACAGAAGTAAAGATAAAAATTCTTGAAAATTGTTAGCTATTTCCTTCAGGATAAATAATAATGTAGCTAGGTACACCGAACTGCCTCCACATTTTATTGTGGATAGATCCAAGCAGCTTCCCACAATAAGAGTATCTCAGACTCTTTATGGAAATTCAGGTTATGCACAGAAAATAGGCCTTGTCATTAGGTGGTCCCCCTCAAGAAGGCCTGGATGGCAAAACCCTACCATTGCTCTCACAGGGATGGCGTTGCCTTTAACCGGGTTTTGAATAAGCTTCTGCCAGAGGCCGCAGTGGTAGCCGTGGCAGGATCCATTTTTATGCTACTTTTGTAATTTGGAGTTCCCCACCATAAGGGTAGGGTAAAGCAAAAGTTTCAGGTTTTAATCTGTTGTTTATTACTTAATTGTATATTCTTTTTAAAATTAATACTCAGAGCTTCCCTATCTTACTAGGCGAATGGGTCCTTTTTTAGTCCTTCTTTCTCTGGGTTCATAGCCTTCAAGTTGGGCTGCAATAGACAGAGATCTCAGTTGTAACCGCCTACCTCATATGGCCCCGAAGTTTTTGCTTCCACTGCCATGAACTGGAGCTCAGAGAAGATTAAAACAAAATGTCTGTTGAGTTCAACCAATATCTCTAGGTATCTGTAGCAGGAAGGTTTCCATGTTGCCTAATCAGCTATTTTGTGGTGAGCTTATTCTCTTACCATCTATGAACTCTTGGCACATGATTATAGGTCACTTGAGGAAAAAAGAGCACGCAGGTAGTAACACTGGTTTTCTAATGCCTTTGTGTTTTGAAACAGATAGAAAATACTATACGATGGAGGATACGCCGGGACAAAGAAGGAAATGAAATTAAAGAAAGCAATGCTCGGATAGTCAAGTGGTCCGATGGAAGGTGAGCATAAATGCCTGAAGAGTATGGAAATGCCCAGAGGGAGGCCTGGGATGAATGAAGTTTTCTGCGTAGGACCGTATTTTAGGATCATCTTTCATTAAAGAATCAACAAGATCTAGGCCTCTGGCATTACCTGGGAAACCTGGGAGAAATAAATAAGGTTAAGATCACAGTGCAGCACTTGGATACTCTAGTCATAGACCCAAGATGTGATCAAATTCACAGTATCTACCTTATTGAGATGAAAGCCTAATCTTAGTGCCCATTTGTGATAATTGGACATTATAAATTGGTATGTTTGAAAAAATGGTTTCTATTTTACTAATGAAATGGTAGAGAGTGGGAAAATGATAAAAACAATTATATTTGAAGTTGAAAGGAAGATGGATTTTACCACCTTTTACTTTGAAAGGTTAGGTTAGTTGTTTCCAGTATCTTTTCTTTGTTTTTCTTATGAATTCATTATGGGGACAGGATGCTGCAGTTCCACAGCATTTTAAGAACAGCTAACAGGGTAGAATGGAAGCTGTAGGATTTGTTAAATATCCACGCTAATAACTGAACTATTTCTTATTTCCAGCCTGTCCCTGCATTTAGGCAATGAGGTGTTTGATGTTGACAAGGCCCCGATGCAGGGCAATCACAACCAGCTGTTCATTAGGGAAGACACTGGTCTGCAGGGACAAGCCATCTTTAAGTCCAAACTCACCTTCAGGTAACTATTCATAGTGACCCACGGCTACTTGGCAGTTAAAGAGCAACAGGGCAGAGAGGTTGGCTGTGCACAAAGCCTGCCTCAGTCCTGATTGACCTGATTTTGAGGTGCAGCTCACCAAGGCCCATGGTTTGGTTCCCATGCTATTTTTCACCTTTGCAACAAGTTGCTGTCCCTCAGGGAGCCAGTTCACGCTATGGAAACCAACATGAGCCCGCCCTACAAACCAGAAGACCGGTTATTAACTCACATTGATTGACGCACCTGGTAAGAGCCTGGACTGTCTGTGCTGCTCTGCTGGTCAGCGTGTCCCTTCCCTTCAGGGACGTTTACCTGGGAAGCCTGCCGATCGCGAGCATGCTCTTGGTGTGCGCATGCGCCAGAGGAAAGGGCTGCCGCAGGGGCTGGTGTGTCCGCAACTGTGTTTGCTGTTGGTATGATTGCCTCCAAATATTCTTTGTAAACAGTGAGACGTTTTCTTCTGTTTCCTGCAGACCTCACGCTACAGACTGTGCCACACTTAGAAAGATGACCCTGCTACTTGCTAACAGATGCTCAAGGACACAGAAGATTAGAATCTTACCGATGGCTGGTCGTGACCCTGAATGCCAGCGCACAGAGATGGTTCAGGTATGTTGGCTGAGGTTTATCCTGGGATTGTTTGGGGTATTAAGAACTGTGCTTTCCAGAATGTTAATTCATCATTTCTTATTGTCACAGCTGTTTTATTTCTTGTGGTTGTCAGGGAGCCTGCTTAACCTTCTAAGCATGTGGTTAACCACAGTAATTGTCATAGTCAATGGCTGATGGTGAGATACAGCAATCCGGACCCTCGGGTGTTCTCTCTCCAATCTATGAGATTTCAGAGGGAAACTAGTAATTTAAAAATATAACCCGGGCTTCCCTGGTGGCACAGTGGTTAAGAATCCGCCTGCCAAAAAAAAAAAAAAGAATCCGCCTGCCAGTGCAGCGGACACGGGTTCGACCCCTGGTCCGGGGAGATCCCACATACCGCGGAGCAACTAAGCCCGTGGGCCACAACTACTGAGCCTGCGCTCTAGAGCCCACGAGCCACAACTACTGAAGCCCATGCACCTAGAGCCCATGCTGTGCAAGAAGAGAAGCCACCGCAATGAGAAGCCTGTACACCGCAACGAGGAGCAGCCCCTGCTCGCTGCAACTAGAGAAAGCCCACGTGCAGCAACAAGGACCCAATGTAGTCAAAAATAAATTAATTAATTTAAAAAAATCTTTATGTAAAAATATAACCCTTGATGTACATCATTAAACTGTGTTAACCGGATAGGAGGTGATGTGGGAAGGTCATGAGGACATTCTGACTCAGTTGACACTGGCTCTGCCTAGTGAACCCCAGTGTGTAGAAGCCAGGCAGATGGAAGGGAATGAAGGCTCTGCTTTGGGGCTCAGGGACCCTCCCCACCAGAACCTCCCCATCCTGCCATCAGGAGCTGTGGGGAGCTCTCTGGGTTGAGGACCCCAGACTGGAATATATGAGCACCATGGTAGTTCGGTGGAGCCTGGGCAAGTCAGGTGTCTGTCTCAGGGTGAAGAGAACCCGCCTCCCTCAGGCGTCCACTGGACATGAACGAGGTTCCTCAGGCTGGTCGCCACACTCTGGGCTCTGCCTGGCAGCACAGGGGACGCTGCATCTCCCAAGGCTGTGCCGGTGCCAGTTCTGATGGGGTGGTTGGTGTGAGGGAGGGGGCCTTTGCCTCTTCACCCTGTGTTTTCTTCACGCCTTCGAACGAACAAGATGATGACCATGTGTGGTAACAGAGGTGTAAAGTGGAGAGAACTGTACCCTGAGGACATAGGAACTGGTGTTATCCTGGGCGAGGCATTTACGTGTTCTTTACAGTAAAGTAGTTTCAAGGGGGCACTAAGTGAGTTCATTTTTTGTTTTAAAGTTCAGTAATTTATTTGCTTCTTTACAGAAAGAAGAAGAACGTTTGAGGGCGTCTACTCACCAGGAGACCATCCATCTGTGGGAAAAGCAGAACCAGCGGGGGCCGAGTGCCCCCTACCAGGGCCCCAGCAGTGGTGAGGAGGGAGAAGCCAGCAAGAACCATGGCCGAGGTGAGTAGGGAGAGGAGGTCACGCTTCACCATCTCAGGGCCGTGGGAGCGATTGTGCTCTGGTGGGCTCTTACTGTCTTGCTGTTATTCACTTAGGACAACAGTACCAAGGCCTTTTATTTTGTTTTCCCTAGGACCACTTTGCCACACAAAAGCTTAGCTGGGAAAATAAGGCACCCCCATAATAAGAAAATCAATTAAATAATTTTGTCCTTATGGAGGAAAATGTGTAACAGGCAGTTCTCCTGCTTGTATAGGGACCCAGTGTTTAAACTTTGTAGTTTTAAAATATGTGGGGCTTCCCTGGTGGCGCAGTGGTTAAGAATCTGCCTGCCAATGCAGGGGACACAGGTTTGAGCCCTGGTCTGGGAAGATCCCACACGCTGCGGAGCAACTAAGCTCGTGTGCCACAACTACTGAGCCTGCGCTTTAGAGCTTGGGAACCACAACTACTGAGCCCGCATGTCACAACTAGTGAAGCCCGTGTGCCTAGAGCCCATGCTCCACAACAAGAGAAGCGACCGCAATGAGAAGCCTGTGCACCACACCGAAGAGTAGCCCTTGCTCACCACAACTAGAGAAAGCCTGTGTGCAGCTGCGAAGACCCAATGCAGCCAAAAATAAGAAATAAATAAAATAAATTTTTTAAAAAATGTGTGCACGAAGCCCCTCGGGTATTTAAAAATGATCAGACAATCTCTCTGAAGGAAAAACCTCTCCAATCTAAGTCATTTAAGCATGTTTGAAAGCTGTACATACTTCTTTATGAAAACTTTAAAAAATTGTTGGCTCCTCAAGGGAAATATATGGTGGGAAGTAGCAATATTCAAGAGTAGAAAAATTCAGGAATAAATGGGTCTTCATCTTTGAAGGTCAATCCCATATCTAAAGTCCCTTTGCTTTCAGAGGAGAGGGCCAGAATCTATTCTTCAGAGAGTGATGAGGGACCAGATGAAGATAAGGCTCAAAGGTCGCTGAGAGCAAAGAAGCTCACCAGTGATGGGGTAAAACCAAATTTATTCAGTCTGAAGGGGTTTGCCCTGTAGCCACAAGTCAACTCCTGGAATGAAGAGGAGCTCACAGCCCTAGAGCACAGACAGATGTCTACACACCTCCCTGTAACTCAGTGAGATGAATGCAGTAATAAGCCTAGACGTGGCCCAGAGGAGGGCCTGACACCTGTGCACGGTGGGAGACTGCCCAGAGCAGGTGCCGTCTTGCTGGTTGCTGAAGGAAGAGCGTTAGGGTGGACATGCCAGAGGATGGAGAGACCTGTGAGAAAAGACACATGGCTGAGACACCAGGACTCGACCAGAGAATTAGAAGTAGCTGAGTACAGTAGAGCAAGGGGCCTCTCGCCTTCATCATGGGTATGATAATAGTGGAGGGTTAGTTCGTTTCCATGTTGTTAAAATTATTTTCCTTTAATTATTTCCTTTTCCACTTATAAGAGCACAAGTGCAAAGAAAATGTAAGTCTTAATTACACAAGCAAATCACTATGTTGTTGCCATTGTGCCATATTCATTCATCCAGTGTTTTCTGAACACTTAACATGCTCCGCTATGGGTTTGGAGTTATAGATCAGAGGAAACATCTCAGTAATAGAAATCGGCCTTACTAAAAAAAAAAAAAAAAAAAAAAGAAATCGGCCTTACTGTGTAATGGAAGCACTAATTTTTCATGTGAAAAAAATATATTTAAAACTTGGAAAGCATACTGAAAAAGCACATAAAACACAAGCAGTCCTTTTAAAAAAATTGACAGGCTTTAAAATACTGAATTTTAGATAGAGAAAGTGAAGTACTGAGGAAGCAGAGGTATATATTTCAAGTAATAATGAGCAGAATCCCCGTCAGGATAGAGTGAGGTGTCCCTGAGCCCTGACTGCTGCCCAGGGAAGCCTGGGCTCCCCTTGTCTGACCTGTAGAGACAGTGTTTGTGGACAAGGTCACCGCTGGTGGGTAGGGTTCTAACATGAAGGGCTAGCTCCCCCATCAGCTCAGAACTACTTAAGACAAAATTTCCAGAAACGTTCAGTATTAAATTTTACACCTTCTCTCTCATATCTGTTCAGGAGGTGAACCCTCCAGAAAGAGGAAAGCAGGCAGCGAAGAAGAAGAGGATGACTGAAGTGTGAAACGCGTGCTTGCTGTAAGTATGGTTTTCAACTGTTTGTTTTTAAACAATGATGAAATGACTTGTTTTGATTGAAGGGGGGAATTGAGTTGCTTTTGCATAATCCTAGTTGTGGTTAAAAAATGTTCAGAAGCAAGTCTGTGACTTTAGAAAATACATTCTTCCCAAATGAGAAGTTTATTTTGGTAACTGTTTGCTCTGGGTCTTGGGTTTCCTTGTCCGAGCAGGTACAGCACGGGAGGGCTCGCTGGAGACTCGGTGCTTTGCCAAGTGCTGCATGGGCCTTACCAGTTCTAATCCTCAGAACAACTCAAAGGGCAGCTGCTGTTATTCTCATTTTACAGACATGGAAGCTGAGTTAGAACTTAAGACCTCTGTCCAAAGCTTTTTCTTAAGTTAAAAACAAAAACAAAAACATTTTTGAGACAAGAGTCGGGAACTTATTTGCACAGCAGTCACACTGCTGAACAGATACATTAGTGACCTTATGGAGAAAGACACCCAAAATATCTGAGAGAAATGGTCACCAAAAGGTTTAGAGAAAAAAGAGCAGTGGGAAACAAAACACTAGATTTGACTTCTAGCTTTGTGACTGGTGCAATAGCTGGAACATAATAGATGCATAAAAAGTGTTTATTGAATGAACAAGCCAATGATATTATCTTGGGGAAGTTATTCAACTTCTCTGAAGTCAGTTTGCTCAACTTGATGGGATTTGGACTTGACCATGTAAATTCTTCATGATTTAATGTTTATATTCCTCTACCTCTGAGAGTTGAATACTAATTAGATACGTTTTTTTAGAAGTCTTTTGTTAAATAGAAATGGTCAAAGGAAAGGAAATGGCCCATCATCTTACCACGCAGAAAACCTGGATATATATTATATTTCCCTCCCTTTTATATTTTTAAAGTATAATTTCATAGTTGTGCAGTAAACACAGACATAATTAGCACCCGCTCCAGAAAGGCCATTTAGAGACTCATCCAGAATGCTGAGAAGTACTAGCACAGTTCAATCATAAAGTCGGCTATTCTTCTTTTTTTTTAATTTTATTGAAGTAAAGTTGATATACAATGTTGTGTTAATTTCTTCTGTACAGCAAAGTGACTCACTTATACATATGTGTATATATACTTTTTCACATTTTTTTCCGTTATGGTTTGTCACAGGATATTGAATATAATTCCCTGTGCTATACAGTAGGATCTTGTTTTTTATCCATCCTATATATAATAGTTTGCCTCTGCTAATCCCAAACTCCCATTCCTTCCCTTTCCTATCCCTCCAAACCCCTTGGCAACCTCAAGTCTGTTGAGCTGCAAATGGCATTATTTCATTCTTCCTGATGGCTAATATTCCATTGTATATCTTCTTTATCCATTCATTCATTTAGGTTTTTCCATGTCTTGGCTATTGTGAATAGTGCTGCTATGAACATAGGGGTGCATGTATCTTTTCGAATTAGTTTCATCTGGGTATATGCCCAGGAGTGAGATTGCTGGATCGTACATCAACTCTATTTTTAGTTTTTTGAGGAAACTCCATACTGTTTTCCATAGTGGCTGCACCAGTTTACATTCCCACCAACAGTGTAGGAGGGTTCCCTTTTCTCCACACCCTTTCCAGCCTTTGCTCTTTGTAGACTTTTTAATGATGGCCATTCTGACTGGTGTGATGTGGTACCTTACTGTAGTTTTGACCTGCATTTCTCTAATAATTAGTGATCTTGAGCATCTTTTCATGTGCCTATTGGCCATCTGTATGTCTTCTTTGGAGAAATGTCTATTTAGGTCTTCTGCCCACTTTTCGATTGGGTTGTGTTTTTTTGTTGTTGTTGTTGAGTTGTATGAGCTGTTTGTATATTTTGGAAATTAAGCCCTTGTTGGTCACATCATTTGCAAACATTTTCTCCCAGCCCGTAGGCTTTTTTGTTTTGTTTATGGTTTCCTTTTCTGTGCAAAAGCTTTAAGTTTGACTAGGTCCCATTTGTCTATTTTTGTTTTTAATTTCTGTTGCCCTGGGAGACTGATCTAAGAAAACATTGGTATGATTTTTGTCAGAGAATGTTTTGCCTGTGTTCTCTTCTAGGAGTTTTATGGTGTCATATCTTATGTTTAAGTCTTTAAGCCATTTTGAGTTTATTTTTGTGCATGGTGTGAGGGTGTGTTTTAACTTCATTGATTTACATGCAGCTGTCCAACTTTCCCAGAACCACTTGTTGAAGAGACCATCTTTTTCCCATTTTATATTCTTGCCTATTTTGTCAAAGACTAATTGACCATAGGTGTGTAGGTTTTTTCCTGGGCTCTCTGTCCTGTTCCACTGATATGTATGTCTGTTTTTGTGCCAGTACCACACTGTTTTGATTACTGTAGCTTTGTAGTATTGTCTGAAGCCTGGGAGGGTTATGCCTTCTGCTTTGTTCTTTTCCCTCAGGACTGCTTTGGCAATTATGGGTCTTTTATGGTTTCATATAAATTTCAGGATTATTTGTTCTAGTTCTGTGAAAAATGTCATGGGTAATTTGATAGGGATCACATTAAATCTGTAGGTCAGCTGTTCTTTATAAGGGCTGGCCTTGAGGCTCTGCTACTTCAGCAACAGGGCAGTTGGGCCGAGCCTAGAGGCCCTCAACCCTTGTAGACATGGTGGAAAGCTTAATATTTGAAGGCCAAAAGATGTTTGGGGATTTTGGACCCTCCCATTGTTTGCTGCTTGGAGCAGGGTGCCACTGGGCTGAGCATGAGGGCATTATCTCCCACAGCCACAGCTCCTGGCACCACGTCCACTCAGACTCACAGGAGCTAGAGTTACCTGACAACCCAAGCACCCAAGCCTCCAACAGGCATCAAGACTTCCCATATGTGAACATAAGCCCGACAGCCATCCTTGCTTGGAAGGCCAGCCAACACTAAAGATTCAAGGGGAATTTCGTTATTTCTTAAGTTTCAAAATTCAATTATTTGATGTTTATCCCTAAAAGTTTCCTCAAACCCATTACACGTTGCGCTGATTTTCCTTTGGTTGGTGGATATAGGTGACTGATGAGAGATGTCTCTGTTTTACTGCACAACTAATCTCTAGTTTAATAGCTGGATTGGCTCCCATCAGGCCCAGAACGCACTGTATCATAGGTCCCTGTTTCTTCATATTTGTCAATTTTTTTTAAAAAACTCGATTTTTTTTTTTTTTTGCCGTACGCGGGCCTCTCACTGTTGTGGCCTCTCCTGTTGCAGACGCACAGGCTTAGCGGCCATGGCTCACGGGCCCAGCCGCTCTGCGGCATGTGGGATCTTCCCAGACTGGAACACGAACCCGTGTCCCCTGCATTGGCAGGCGGACTCTCATCCACTGCGCCACCAGGGAAGCCCTTTTTTTTTTTTCAATTTGATTTTATGGACAGACCAGACGGAGTACTGATGGTATGAGATTGAACCATATGAACTTACTATTTTTATGGGTATAAATGGTCACGTATTGACAGTTTTATATGGTTTAACTTAATAGGGTAGGAAAGAATAAGTCAGGGAAATTAATAAACTTGTTCTTAAGAGGTGTGTAAGGAATGAACTTTAGAACACAGGCACTAAATGGATTTTCCAAAAAGTCCAAGTCTACAGTATATTTGATAAACTTTAGTAAAATTATTTATTCCAATATGAAGTGGTAAATTCTAAATGCCTATAGTCCATATTTTTCAAAAGAACTTTCACTGTGCTAATAAGAGCCAATAATATTAATAGTTTGTAATATTTAAGTATCAGTATTATAAAATTCAGTTTTTATATTTATAAAAATTGAAAAAAAGCATTTATAGCATTTTGGTATTTTAGAGTTAAAAAATGTATTTAAATGCTCAATTTCATGTGACAAAGAATGATGCACTGTTATAAAGGTAATTTTCAAGCTTTTAAACATAACTAAAACCAAATATAATTCATCCAAAAGACTGAAAAAAATGTGGGCATTTATTCAAAATTACAAAGGTTTTTATGCTATGTGTGTGTGTAAATGCACATGTATGCATGCAATTTTTTTTTCACGATTTTTGTTTTATAATTCTTAAGCAGACAGATCTAAAAAGTTTAAACTGAATCAAAGACTTTTTTTCTTTTGTGAGTTAAGGTGAAATTTAAACTCCTAAAAATTGCTATACACAGCCACCAAGAAGCACCCAGAATCTGTTCTTAAACCTTACTCTCTGAGTGGACTACAATATCTGACAGAAAAATTTTAGGCCTATTAATCGCTTTGCAGCACTTAAAACATATTGATAGTCTGTAGAAAAGGGAGTTAAGCCTCACATATATAGACTCCATGGGAGTTTATCTTAAAAGTGTACGAACTTGAACAATGCTAACAAGACATGGCTGGTGGTGTTTCACAGTGTTACAATCTATTCTTATCTAGCCACTAGAGCAGATGTCCTAAGTAAAAGTCTTTATATGTCAATGAAGGCTGTCTAAAATACTTGGTAATGGTTGACAAGATTGGCTCCTCTGAATGATCAGACTGCAGGTTAGAGTTCAGCATTAACAAACTGTTATAAATGTTTTATTATAAAAAAATTTCCAATTTTTTCAGTTTTTATAGGGACTTACGGAACTAAATTATAATGCAGAAAGATCAATATGACATAAGAAAGAATGACATTAAAATGACATAAGGGGCTTCCCTGGTGGCACAGTGGTTGGGAGTCCGCCTGCCAATGCAGGGAACACGGGTTCGTGCCCCGGTCCGGGAAGATCCCACGTGCCGCAGAGCGGCTAGGCCCGTGAGCCGTGGCCGCTGAGCCTGTGCGTCCGGAGCCTGTGCTCCGCAACAGGAGAGGCCACAACAGTGAGGGGCCCGCGTACTGCAAAAAAAAAAAAAAAAATGACATAAAAATATAAAAATCTTTGCTTATTGTAAATATAATTTTCTCAATTTAAAAATTTGTGAAGAGTTCCTTTGAGAAGTAGCTAGAAACATTAACTGTCGTATGGTGAGAAACAGCCAGAAACATTAACGTTCAGTGGGAGCTGATGGAAAAGATGGTTCTATAGATGTTTAGACTGAAGAACTCACGCCCCTTGATAGGAGGTGCTCTGACACATCCAATTTGCTTGGTTCTTGTGGGTGCCATGTCTTTAGTTAATACTGTTCAAAAATGGAGTGGTCTTGAGGGCATTATGCTAAATAAGTCAGAGAGAAAGACAAATATTGTATCATCTCACGTATCAGAATCTAAAAAAACTAAATTCATAGATACAGCAAGCAGAGTGTGGTTGCCAGAGGTGGGGCATGGGGACTGCATGAAATGTGTGAAGGTGGTCAAGTGGTACAAACTTCCAGTTATAAGAGAATGTCCTACGACTAATGTACAGCATAGTTATGACAGTTAATAATACTGTATTACATATTTGAAAGTTGCTAAGAGAATAGATCTTAAAAGTTCTCATCACAAGGAAAAACATTTTTTAAAACTACGTGAGGTGATGTTTAACTGAACTTATCGTGGTAATCATTTTGCAGTATGTGCATATATCAAATCATTATGTCGTACACCTTAAACTAATACAATGTTATATGTCAATTATCTCAATAAAAATAGAAAAAAATTTTTTTAAGTGAAGTGGCATTTGAAATGAAGGAGCAAAACTGGACAGTACTGAACTTATAGAGAACGGAAATTGCTATGGATTCTAGAAAAACAGTGATCCTTGTATCTGCTGGGAGGTAACAGTGATTCCTGATTTTATAAGGAAAAAGTGAGGCAGTCCTGGGACCACAGAGCGAAAATTTAAAGATTTTATGAAACCTCATGAATTATTTAATCTTATTTTAATGGTAGCAAGGGTTAAATATAATGTACAATAGAACATGACTAACATTTTATCAAAACATTTTTTCTTTTATAATTTTCAGTATACCATGGACTCCCCTTTTTAAATGAAAAAATATCAGATGCTGTCAACGGAAAAACAATATACAAAGCTCTATACATGTAACTTTTCCAGAGGACACCTACTGTACAAAGCAAGTATATGGATTATTTCATTCAAATACGAGAATCTGCAATTTAACTATCAAGATGTAATTCTCCTTAAGATCTCTAACAATCTGCTAATTTCTTAAACACAAAATGTTTATTTGGTCTTTTAAACGACAGGCACCGCACCGTTAGAAAATGTATTTCACCTATGAATTAGACTTCTACTAGGCTTTAGCTCCAAGTGTACAGCACCAAAATCCATTCTAATAATATCAATATTATTAATACTGATTTTTTAATACATACAATTTCATGCAAACTGGAAAAATTAGAACTTCCAATATGAATATAAAATTTTATAAAATGGGAAATTAAAAGCTTTTTAAAAAACAGCAATTTAAAAATGCAAAGAATAGTCTTTGCTTAGGTAACCAGATAAGTTTACATTGGTTACACTATAAAAACTTAAAGTCTTAGAAAATCTTTGGTTTAAAAATCAAGAGTATTTCACAACTCCAATCTGTTATAAAAAATTTTAGATAAATACAGAAATACTGAAAGTTACTAAAAGGGTAAGAGGTGCCAGATTTTTAAAGATCAAAGTAAACATCAGTTTTCTCCCTTGTCATTACAATTCTTGAAAGATTTTCTGCATTTAATCAGATCAATGTTCACCCTTATTTATTAAGAAATCTTTTCTTCAATTATATAATGAACTATTGTAGCTCAGAACTGGAATGGTACAAGGAAATCACTCAACTTCTTCATACTTTGATAAATAATAAGTGGAAAAGATATTACCCCAAGTATAACACACAATTTTAGGTGGGGCCCACCTACCTATATTTAAAAAAAAGCTTTGGGGAGGAAAGGGTAACATACTTAGCAATTTACTGACTGACTTACAGGGCAGGGCAAGCGAGGAAGCCTTGCTAAAAGTGTACTGGTAGCTCTGCACAGCTGCTCCATGCTGACTCCCCACCCTGCTGGAACTGTGCAGTCTCTAAAACCAAGTGCATTTCCAAAGTCATTTATGAAAGGAGAGAGGGAGAGAGCGAGCGAGAGTGAGCTTGACTTGCTAACTTGGAAAAACCTCCAGCACCCTATAACTGAAAGGGAATAGCAGTACAGTGCAAAGCCAGTCTTTGGCCCCTTTCAAACAATGGATACTGATTCCAAAAAAACACACACTCAGTCCTCATGAGGAAAGCTTTTGCCTGTTAAGAAGGCTTATTACTGTAGCATGCAAGGAGTTGCCTAGCTCATTAGATAAACTGTCCAACCCAAGACAAAGGAGCAGACATTTTATAATTCAATTTCAAGAAGTTTAAAAAAATTAACAAAAGACCTCTCCCCTATTCTGGAAGGAGATTCCTCCTTTAGAAAAATCTCCCTGTAAGGGATACACCCAGGCCTGAATTGTCAAGGCCAGGACTGCTCAGACTCCTTTGCCCCTGTCGTCTGCAGCTGTAACGCCTCTGCCATCTCCTGCTCCGGGGCTGCCCTGAAATAGGACATGAATGCAGGCCCAAATTATCGATCATATTATTGGATCTGGAGTAGTCTTCCCACCACAGGACTACCGTTTAACTGTTCACCTTAATACTTTGAAGGATAGGAAGACAGCTTGTGTTATGAGAAATTGCTTTTATACAATGTAGACCAAAAAGTACAAGATGAAAGGAAACAGATTTATCTAACAGCCATTTTACTTATTGGTTGGGAAAATCTGTAGTGAGTGGTGATTATACCATTCAGACAATTCTGTGTTGCATGTAGGAACGTCTCACTATCCTGTGCAGCTCTTAATTTATACCCAGGCTAGTTTCTAATTTACCATCAGTAACCATCAATTTAAAGGACCGTTTTGCATGCTCCTCAGACTTAATCTCCACCATTTATTAACTTTGATTTCATGTGTTTAAAAACAGCTTTCTTTTTGCTTTTACCCTAAATAACTGAGAGCTGGCTATATGCCTTTTACAGGGAAGAAAAAAATAGCTTTCCTACTCAGATGCTTTTTTTTTTACTATGAGCTTTCACAAAAATTTAATAATGCCCACATTATTGCAATGAAAAACGGTAACGAACTTAGACCTAACTATACTTTTAAACAAAGTGTGTAACCTGGCTAAGCTGATGACTTTGTTGAAAAAAACTGTAGGTGTTGCTGAGACACCTTGGACAGGTGCAGTGCCATGGAATGCATAGGAGACTGCTTCCTCTCTCCTAGAGATCTGCTTTGACTCCAAAACAGATGACCAGGTTTTGAGTCATCTGTTTTAAAATGCTGGCATTTTGCTTTCTTGATAGAAGCAGAAACCATACTCTTGCCAAGTTCATGTGTTCTGAAACTTGGAAAAGTCTCCTTGCCTTGGAATAAGGAAAGCTTTGAAGTTCCTTGTACCTAAAAGGTGCAACAACAATTCTGACATCAGCAATGTCCCTTTCTGACTTAAAAAAAGATTGGTCCTTAGAATGTTCATATTACTCTACATAAATGACTTCCTAAACTTTTTTATAATTGTATTTTTTTAACCCAAGACTCATCATAAACCATTTAATTAAGCTAAATTAAAACTGATTTTAGCAGAAAGTAGAAATAATGCTTTAGAATACAAAATATCACCTACTAGTGATTTACAATCTGAAACTGGTAACAACTTAAACTAGATAAAAGATAACATGTAGTTAAAAAAAAAAAGAATTTCCAGTCTTTTCCCTTCTCCCGAGGAAAATTTTACATCTGATATCACAACATGGGCCCTTGGCAAACTTTTGAAGTCTTCCAAAGATTACATGTTGGCAGACTTACTGGTGGTCTCCTTCAACTCGTCTCTTGCGAACTATGAGAAAAAGAATGTTAGAAATCCCTGTTAGTTTGTACAATGTTAATTTGCTTGTGACAAGTTTCTGTGTGATCCAGTTAGAGTTGTACAAAAATGGATTGTCCATTTGCAGTTCAGACAGCCATTAAAATAAAAAACTCACCCTTCACCATGGTTACTTACCTGTTAAGAACTGAGGGGCTAAGCTCAGCTGTGCTTACACTGCAGTTACATTAGAAATCTACAACAGAATGGTCAGCAGTCACCTTCAAGTCACTGTGCCTGTCTCATTTGTGTATTAAAATTTATACCTCCATTAAAAAATAACTAATAACTTACTGTATTAAATTTTGAAATGACATTCAGGCAGCTGGGATTAGAAAGTATTAAACGTAACTATTTGCATGCTCTTCTGATTAATTCCTCAGTTTGTGCAAGAACATACCAAAAATAGTATTATCAGTTTCAAAGGTAAGTGACTTGCTGCTACTGCTCTCCAAATTTTCCTTCTCTTATCTCCTGCAAAATGAGCCACTTCAGGGCTCTGAGAAAACAACAAATGCAAAGTAATGAAGATCTTAGACCCTGGTAATGTGGTGATGTCACATCTCGCTACCAAAAACTTGGGAAGCCACAGTGGTTGGGTGCACATCTGAGGACCCCCAGCCTCTTCCCGGGCTGGTGACCCTGAGCCGCTTGGCTGTGCTCACTAGCAGCAGGGCAAAGTCTTCAGTGTCAGGGTCTTGCTACCTTCACTCTCACCTGTCAGCCATCAGACAATATTTGCTGAGAGCCACCAGGTCAGGGCTCCTCAGCATTGTGGCAACTCCTATTTAGAGACGAAAACGAACACAGGTTCTGGAGTCAGCAAGAGTGGGAATCTGTTGCTTTTTGTGGTTTGCTCTTTGGCAAGTAAGGTAACCTCTCTGAGACCCAACTCATCCTCTGTAACAGGGGATAATGATACCTGTACCTCACGGCTGTGCGAGTAAAGTCTGCTTAGTGTAGTGTTAATATAGAAAACATTCAGTGAAGGGTACTCAGCCTCATCACCCACCACAGTGGGGTCACGGGATGGTCCTGAGGTCAGCCATCTTTTTGGGATGAGGAAAGTCAATTTAGCTTTTATAAAGCTAGAGGATTTGCATGTATACATAATTGGTTTTGATACTCTAACCAGTAAGTTCCTCTGTTTAAGTTACATTGTTGGTCTATTAATTTCTATACTCTCTTCTGTGGAAGCAAGTAGGAAGACACCTGCCTTTGTTCAGCCTGAATTGGCCGTTTTAACAGAGGAATGAAAAGCTAACAGGTGCACTGGCCTCCTGGCCAGGCTACGAATCCTGCTCTCATGCTGTTCTGACTGCTGGCTTCTGTTCACTGGCCTTCAAGAGATGAGACTGGACAGTCAAGTGATGCACATAAAAGCTTGTCCAGAAAATAAAAACCAGGAGGACTGAAGTATCAGGTCCCCATGAACATTTTTATACTAATTTAACTAGGCGCACCCCAACTCTAATTTCAGTCCATGTTAATGAACAAGTTTCAGGTATTTACTGAAATACTAGGGGAAGAAATCAAATGGAGAACTGAGTCCTCAAATACAAACTTAATTCATGTATATGGATCTCTGAAGAACATGGATATATCTGAAAGGCAAAGCACATAATTCTTTAGGGAAGAACATTTCCAAGAAAATTTTGAATTGCAGTAGTGTTTGGATGTTATTGGCAGACCATTTCAGATGTTAAAAAGCATGTCATTAAAAAAATGCACACTATAAACAAGATCAATAGGACAGATGGAACAAACAAAAAAAGTATAGAAAATTAATTATGTAGTTAGCTAGTGTAAAGGTAGTAACGTGAGACAAAGTTCAATCGAATACTGCACGTACACCATATAACCTCTTTGCTGTTATAGCCGTGATACTCCTTAGCTGAAGAGATGGCGAGTAGGTAGGATTATTTCAATGAAAAGTTGAGACTAAGAAAACAATGAGAGAGGGAAAGACAGTATCAAAATCAGAACACTAAAGCTCTGATGTAGCCCCATTTGCAAGGTGAAGAAAAACTATATGCCCCAGAGATGCTGTACAGGTTTCAAGTCTTGTGCTCCAATATCTCTGTCCAGTTACTGCACACTAGAATGCAAGTAAGAAGACGGTTTTTAGGCTTGCCACCTTGATCCACAGGCAGAGATCAAAGTGCAGGGCTAAGAAACAAATCCAGCTGAGGGTGGATGGAGGCCCGGCTGCTGTTGCTGTGACACAGCACAGCAGAGGGAGGCGGGCAAAGAGCACTTCTGACCCCTCTTCCTCACTTTGTGCCCACCTGTTACCTCAGCAGTTCTTCAGTTCATCCTGTGGATGAAAGACTAATAAATTCGGGCCTATTAACAATTCTTTGGCAATTTCTTTCCAAAATCCACTCCACTAATATAAGTTCTCGATACTTCATGATTAGTCCATTGCCGATAAATCCTAACTAATCTCATTTCTTCTCTATCTCCAGAAGAGTAATTAGAATAGTGTTTTTGAAGTATCATTTTAATCATGCACTCAGTGGCTTACAATGGCTCTCAAATGCCTCCACATAAAGTCCAAAGGAAGCTAAGTTCCTTACCACGTAATTTTAGTGCCGCCTATCAGCATTCCCTCTTAATCCGCTGAAATAATTTTTTTTATTCTGTTAGCTTCAAATAGCAAGTGCTTGTTGAAAGTTTATTCTGGATCCTGCATCCTGTTATGAGAGTCACTTCTCAAAATCTGCAGGCTGTCTTCAGCATATAAATAACTTGCTTACTCCCAAATCTGAGCTTTTATTCATGCAATTCCTCACTCCAGGAATGTCCTTATTCTCATTTCATGCCTAAGACCCATGTCTGAAGATCTGGTTTGGATCAGAGTGAACAGCGTGGGGAGGGCAGGCAGCTTGTCTAGAGAGCTGCCAGCACACAGCTGTGTGCCGTTTCTCACCTCTGCTTCGTGTCAGACTGCACCTTCTTCTGCACGGCCTCCTCATCCTCTTACACACGCCTATGCACAGCAGCTCCTCGACTGCTCAGTGTTGACATAAAGCAGCCGAGGAACTGTTTTCATCTGCTCCCCTCACCTTCCATCTGCCAAAATCTTCCTTGCTCTAACATTAGGCCCTCTTTTCTTAGAAAGATCTGGGCAAAGCACCTGCCATAACAGGCTCACAGAAGAGCACAACTGCTGAGGCCCTGAAAGGCTGGCGTCCCTTTCACATGCAGGGATGTGCACGTGCAGACTCTCACTCTGCTGCTCGCCAGCACCGCCTCCTCGGGGAGGGGCACAGCTGACAGACATGGCTAGGGCTACAAATACGTCAGTGGGATCCTGGGACAGCTAAGGTGGTTTCTGAGGAAAGGAAGAATGGAGACACTTCTGGCTTAAGTTCATAGCTGCTTAGTTACCAGAAATTTCAACTTTAACCAGGATTCAAATTCTACTACTTTTTTTTACTTAATAAATATTAAGTACCTACTATTGTCACACATGGTTTTAAAGAAAGTTGTGAATTCACCAGATACACATGGCCCCTGACCTCCAAAAGCTTAAAGTCTTTGAAAATAGGCTATTACAATGAAGTATAACCTAGTAAGTAAAAAACTAACTTTTTAGCGCCAACAATGTATACGTTCTTAAGGTTCTCTATTTATGAAGTTCAGTTAGACTTGAGAAACACTGCTCTAAAAAGCAAAATTAAATTCCTGAAGGAAAGAAAATAGAAGCCAACGAATGAAGCAACACTAAAATATTAGCATGACCTTGCAAACTACATCTAAAATCAACAATACACCAAAACACACCAAATTTCTCTTTTAAAAAGCAAGACACTAAAATCTTCCATGGGAAACTACAGTCATCAAAGGACAGAAAGGGTTTGAACTAATACTTTTCACAGTGATCTGGATTAAAGGAATGAGGCTGTAGTTCTGCTCCAGAAATCTTTAAAACACTGCAAACTCAAATATGGCCAAAGCCTAAAAGAACTGCATAACGGTGAAATGTGACTCGCTTTAAGAAGTATTATTTTAATTCTTGTCTAAATGCATTTTTTAAAGTATTTCAATGACAAACACCAAACTTAAAACTCAGGTTAAAACTATTTTAGGGACTTCCCTGGTGGCGCAGTGCTTGGGACTCCACGCTCCCAATGCAGGGGGCCCGGGTTCAATCACTGGTCTGGGAAGTGGATCCCACATGCATGCTGCAGCTAGGAGTTCGCATGCCACAACCAAGGAACCAGTGAGCTGCAGCTGGGGAGCCCACAAGCCGCAACTGAGGAGCCCGCTTGCCTCAACCAAGGAGCCCTCGTGCTGCAACTGGGAGCTGGGAGGCCAGCAAGCCACAGCTAAGGAGCCCTCCTGCTGCAACTGAGACCTGAAGCAACCAAATGGATAATAAATAATTTTTTTTAAAAAACTGTAATTGTTTTATATTTTACCATATAAAACTGAATTTCTATCTAGGCCTTTGATCAAAAGGGCAAAACTTTGCTATAACATTGAAATCTTTGTTTTACTAACTCCAAGAGGTGACTTGTAATTGAGAACAAAATATTTTTTAGGGAAGCATTTTTTATAATGTTTGTTGTAGAAAACTATTTCACTAAAAGCTGTGAAATAGGTTGTCACCCACTAACCTATAATCACTACAACCTCATTTAAACTGAACTATAATTCAGTGAGTATTATAAAGGACTGTGTGGATTTTAGAAACAAAAGCCAAATAATCTTCCTGTGTAAAAATGTATTTTAAAAAAAGTCCCTCCAATACATTAGCTTAATGATACAATTCAGAAATTCAGTTTCACACCGAATATGTCTTACCTAAGTCATTATTTTTTGTTATAGCATTAGCTGCCCTGGTTCGGGGTCCCTGCTGCGTAAATTGATACCCAAATTTAAGGATATTGGTATTTTCCTCAAGCATCTTGGCCATTTCCAATTCTACAGCCGTCCCCAACTGCTGCCTCTGGAATAATTGAAAATAAAGAATAGTATTAATGAGCTACATCAAAATACTTTTTCAGGTACATGCTGATTCCTTGAAAGTTTTCCCAAGTCTTACACCATACATAAGAGAAACAAAAATGTAAGTTTAGTGTATGATCATACAGACATCAACAAAATGTGGATTATTACAGTGAGAAACCACTTCATACCCACTAGGATGACTATAATCAAAAAGACAGACAATAGGGGCTTCCCTGGTGGTGCAGTGGTTGAGAGTCCGCCTGCCAATGCAGGGGACACGGGTTCGTGCCCCGGTCCAGGAGGATCCCACATGCCACGGAGCGGCTGGGCCCTTGAGCCATGGCTGCTGAGCCTGTGCGTCCGGAGCCTGTGCTCCGCAACGGGATAGGCCACAACAGTGAGAGGCCCGCGTACCGCAAAAAAAAAAAAAAAAAAAGACAGACGATAGTAAGTGTTGGCAAGGATATGGAAAAACTGGGAGCTTTAGGCATGCTGGCAGGAATGTAAAATGGTACAACTGTTATGGAAAACAATTCGGCTATTTCTCAAAAGGTTAAACACAGAGTTACCATATGACTCAGCATTTCCACTCCTAGGTATATACCCATGAGAAGTGAAAACATATATTCATATAAGAATCTGTACATGAATGTTCACAGCAGCATATCTGTACCATTCAGAAAGTGGAAACAACCCAAGTATAATAGATTATTCAGCCATAAAAAGGAACAGGTACTGATATATGCCACAACATGAATAAACCTCCTTAACATTTTGCTAAGTGAAAGAAGGAAGACACAAAAGGTCACATATTACAGAACTCCATTGATATGAACTGTCCAAAATAGGCAAATGCACAGAGACAGAAAGTAGATTCGTGGTTGCCAGGGGTTGGTGGGAAGGGCGACTAGGAAGTGACTGCTGATGGGTGTGGAGTTTCTTTTTGGGGCGATGAAGATGTTCTGGAGTTAGACAGTGGTGATGGTTGCACAACTCTATGAATATACTAAAAAGCATTTAATTGTATACTTTAAAAGAGTAAATTTTATGGTAAGTGAATTATATCTCAATAAAAAAATTGGAAACATTGATTAAATAGCATTCTGGTTAAATTTTAAGATATAACTCTTCTTTCTACCTTCATAATCTACAAAATTTACTTACTTTGAAGGATTAAGGGAGTCATTTACCACATATTTTTTTAAAATAAGTATTTTTCAAATAAAATAGACTGAAGTGTTTTAGTCAAATGTGTAATGTTGTTTTATTTTTAGTTCATTACCACTCTGTATGGAAACACCTCTAACATGTATATTTCTCTGCTTCTTTAAAGAAAAGTGCGTCTGGCATGGGTGACCCAGCATTATCTTACAGTGTCAGCACTGAATGTGGCTGCGTAGGAGTATGTGTCTCTGGGTAACCTGGGTACTGGAGTTTTCTGCTTTTCACTGAGCCTGTTCTGTTCACCTACTGTGTCTGGGACTGACATGCTACAGATGCAAAAATTCTATTATGTGGATCTTGCCACTGAAGAGCTGAAAAATTTGAGGATGGACTGTTACCTGTAAGAATTATTCCAGTTCAAAACAGCCAGCCATCTAAATTCTCTTAAGACCAACCAGGGAGAGTTGCTTGTATACCTTTCTATACATTAAGTTAATATTCTGGATGCCCCAAATGTTCTCTCATCCCTTTTCAGGACCACCTTCCGAAGGGTTCCCTGAAAGCCCTCCTCCCACCCACCTCCTGAGTCCCCAAGCCCTGCACAGAGTGTGAGCTGTAGTTTCCTCAAAGCTGCTGCTGTACATCACCGACCTGATTGTCGATTTTCAGCTCAGCCAGGGTTTCATTATCTCTCAAAGCATCAATCAGTGCTAGAATCCCAGCTCCTGTAATAAAGTTGGACTCCATATTTAAGCTCTTCAAATTTTTGTTCACTCTTAGCATCTCTGCAAAAGCCTGGAAATTAAAGAAAATATTTGGAGATTACAGTTTGACAGCACATAGTAAATAAACACTGAACAAGCCTGAAACAAATACACAAATCAATACAACTGCTTTAACGTTTCTTATTAGATTGTTTTAGCTTGACACACTACACCTCACAGGTCTCACATGTATCTATTTTCACATGTACTTGGTCACAGACTTTAGATTTTTTTTTTTGTCATGTGTAATTCCCCATCGGTAACATTCTCTACTGCTGTTCATTCCTACTTCCACTTCATGCTTCTTTCTCCTGCGTCTCTCATACTTTCTCTGAGTCTCTGTGTAGGAGTAACTTCATCAATGTCTCTTTGCCTTTTTATTTCCCTTTGCTGGCACTGCACAGCATTCAGGATCGTAGTTCCCTGACCAGGGATCAAACCCACACCCCCCTGCAGTGGGAGCGCAGAGTCTTAACCGCTGGACTGCCAGGGAAGTCCCATCAATTTCTCTTTGGAACATCTTTTCTTACTTGCGTCCTGCTGCAGCTGGGTTACTGTGAAGCCCAAATGAGGGTAAATTATGGACTAATTTCCAAGGCAGGGACCAAAAGGACTGCCTAAGGCAGAAGGCCAGAAAAGATCACAGATGACTGGAACTGAGAGAGCACAAAAACTAGGGAGAAGGGGCTAACTAAATATTCAAAGAACGGTATGTTTTCCATCTGCTTCCGTTACATTTCTCACAGGATATGGCAGTGCTAGGCATTTGACCCAGTGCTTAATAAGTGCTATACTGATTAATTAACAAAGCCTGTAAGTGAGCAGAGGTGAAAGAGAAGGGAGGGGGGGAGGAGGAAGAAGAGGAGTGTGAGTTTATTTACAAAGTCCTGCAGAGGCATCAAAAGAAAGGCCAAACTCCAGAGAATATGGGTAAGATCAAGCTTAAAATTAAAGTCAAGTTAAAGAAAAGGCAATACTGCACAGTGATACTAGAAAGAACTGGGGACAGATATCTACACACCTGAACATTCTAATAGCAACAACTGGCTATGTGACTTGGAGCAAATCCCTTATCCATCCATCTGTACACACATTTATTAAAATATTACAATGGCCTATTTTTGATAAGTACTGTTCTGTAAATTCAGAAATAAAACATACAAGTCTCTACCTAATGGAACTTACATTTTAGTGGGGGGCCCACATAGTAAGTAAGCAAAACGTAATGTCAGATGGTAAAAAGGGCTATAGAGGAGGAAAAAAAGGCATAGCAGGGTGGATGGGGAGTGCTGGGTGTAGGAGTGGGGTTGCTGTTTTATATACGGGGGTCAGGAAAGGCCTCACCTGGAAGGTGACATCTGAGCAAGGACTGAAATAATTTAAGTGATGAAGTAAAATTACGTGGAATATCTTCAGGGAGAAAGTTCTAGGCAGGAGGAACAAGTGTAAAGGCTCTCAGTTGGGAGCATGCACGGCATGTCTGAGGGAGAGCAAGGAGGCTGTATGGCTGGAGCAGAATGAAAGAAACAGCAAGAGGGGAGATGAGGTCTGCTCATGTAAGGCCTCATTAGGCCACTGAAAGATTCTGATTTTTACTTAGTGAGACAGAGAACTGCTGGAGGGTTCTGAGTACAGGAATGAGAACACTTAAGTTTTAAGAGTCACTTCTGATGCTGTGTATAGAGATGAAGCAGGCAGCTCAATTAGGATAATCCAGGTGAGAGAAGTCAGTGGCTTGGACCAGGGTGGTAGCTGTGAAAATGGTGAGACGTGGTTGGATATACAGGAAATACTTGAAGACACAGCTGGATATACATTTAAAGTTGTGAGAAAGGGAAGTCAAGGATCACTCCATTATTATTATTTTATTTTTTGACTTGAGCAAATGAAAGAATGAAGTTGCCATTTAGTGAGATAGGAAAGAGTGTGAGAGAGGCAGGTATGGGACGGAAGTCAGGAGTTTGGTTTGGGGCTTGGATTTGAGACGTCTGTTAGATATACAAGTAAAGCTGTTAAGCAGTAGCTGGACATGGGTTTGGAGTTGAGGGGAGAGGTGTGAACTGGAGATAATAATATTGGGAGTCATCAGCATGCATAGATAATATATAGCAATGAAACAGAATGAGATCACCCAGAAAGTGAGTGCAGATAGAGAAAAGAAGAAGGACTAGAACTGAGCTCTGAGCCATTTAGATGTTTAGATGTTGGGGAGATGAGGAGGAACCAGTATAGGGACCAGAGAGGTAGGAGGAGAATCAAAGGGAGTGCTATCCTCAAAGCCAAGAAGAAAAGGGTTTATACCCTGATCAAGTGGGATTTACCCCAGAAATGCAACGTTGATTTAACATATAAAAATTAATCAGGGGCTTCCCTGGTGGCGCAGCGGTTGAGAGTCCGCCTACCGATGCAGGGGACACGGGTTCGTGCCCCGGTCCGGGAAGATCCCACATGCCGCGGAGCGGCTGGGCCCGTGAGCCATGGCCGCTGAGCCTGCGCGTCCGGAGCCTGTGCTCCGCAGCGGGAGAGGCCACAACAGTGAGAGGCCCGTGTACCGCAAAAACAAAACAAACAAACAAAGTTAATCAATGTGGGACTTCCCTGGTGGTGCAGTGGTTAAGACTCCGCCTGCCAATGCAGGGGACACAGGTTCGATCCCTGGTCCAGAAGATTCCACATGCCACAGAGCAACTAAGCCCGTGCACCACAACTACTGAGCCTGCGTTCTAGAGCCCACGAGCCGCAACTACTGAGCCCACGTGCCTAGAGCCCGTGCTCCACAACAAGAGAAGCCACTGCAATAGAAGCCTGCGCACCGCACTGAAGAGTAGCCCCCGCTCGCCACAACTAGAGAAAGCCCATGCACAGCAATGAAGACCCAATGCAGCCAAAAATAAATAATAAAATAATTATTAAAACAATTAATCAATGTAATATACCATATTAACTGAATAAAGGACCACATGAATAAAACCACATGATCACCTCAACAGACACAGAAAAAGCATTTGATAAAAATTCAACACTATACATCCATAAATGGAACCCTCTGCAGGTGTTAAAAGAATGATGTATAACTTTATATGTTGGTATGAAAAGATCTCTGAGATACACGGTTAAGTGAAAAATTAAGTTGCAGAACAGCCTACACTGCATGACTCCATTTATGTTTAAAAAATTTCATAGAAAGGAAATACCGAAAAAAGTAAACATAAAATGGTAGTAAATAATGTATTGCCCAATAGTAAACATCAATTGAAAAAGTAAATTTTTTTTTTTTTACTGATATTTGCTTTTATTGATTGTTGCACATCATGGTTACTAACAGTCAATCTTAAAACACAGTTTTGAAACTACATTAAAAAATTATTTTAGTTTTTAAATTTATTTTTTATTGAAGTATAGTTGAATTAAAAGAGAGTAAGTCTTGTTCATAAAATCAGTTTAAGCACCTTTGTAACATGCCCTGGTATTACACAGCCATAATTTCGATATTATTAGTAGTTAGCTTACTTACAACAGCAACGGGGTCATTGCTTCGGGTGGCTGCAAGACTGAAATATTTCACATGTGTGTTGGTTTCCAAAGCCTTTGCAAAATCTTTTAGGGTTGGAATTGGGATATTCTTGAAAGACAAAAATGTGAAACATTATTACATTTTAGGTTTCAGGAAATTCAGTCCATTAATCAAATACATCTGTACTTTCTTTTTCGCATTAAAATGTATTCAGAAATTATGTAACATACAACCGCTGGTCTACAACTGAAAACAAACAACTCAGCCTCCTTCTTACTTCTTTGATTTCTCTATTATGGTACAAACTGTTGGCATAGAGCAGAGCATACATCACTGTTTCTCTAGCTTTGAGGTTAAAGAAATTCTTTTTAATTATTTGTATTATGAGAAGTCGGCCCTTGAGTACTCAAAGTGGATCCACTTTTCTACAAAGAGAAAGATGTGGGAATCTACTTATGATGATTCCTGAGGCAGATGACATACTGTTTTCAGTCACTCAAGCTGCAAGGTATTAAGAGAGATTAACTCTACATTTCTTGAAATGAGGAAAGAGAGAGTTTTAGGAGACACTGATCTTTCCCCTTGGTACCAAGACTTCAATTTCCTGTAGCCTGCCTATTTTCAGATTGTTACTATTGATTTAGAGACAGACATACACTGAATTGAACTGAATTTTTTTAAAAAATAAGACTAGTGATCAACTAGGGATATTAGCTTTCCCCAAGGCTTTTCCCCCTCCACTCACAGGAAGGAACACCCACAAAAAGAGCACAGAGGTCTAATTCCCTAGGTTCTTGTAATTTCCACATGTTCTCCCTTCCTCCAATTCAGATATATTAAGATTTAAAATGAGGAATCTGTAATGAAGCTATTATACAATGGCTAATACGTTGAGATCATCTGAGTTTACTCTTTGGTAATTAATTATCCCTGTGCCCTCCTAACTCATTTCTTCTTTCTTTACTCCAAGGAAGAGTTGCATTTTAAAAATCCCAGTGAGATCCCACAAAGCCCAATTCTAGGTGTTTACTCAAGAGAAATGAAAACATACATTCACACAAAAACCTGGATGTGTATGTGTATAGTGGCTTTATTTATAATCATCCCAAACTGGAAGCAACTCATATGTCTATCAACTGGTGAACGGACACACAAACTGCAGCACATCCAGACAAAGGAATGCTGCTCTACAACACGAAGGAGCAAACCACTGAGACACACAACAGCATGGACGAGTCTCAAATGTACTGTGCGAAGTGAAAGAAACCAGACTCAACGGCTACACACTATATAGTTCCATTTATATGAAATTCTGGAGAAGGCAGAACGATAGGGAAAGGAAACAGATCCCTGGTTGTCAGGTGCTAGAGCTGGTGGCAGGGAATGATGACACAGGATTGTGACATGTTGTTCTACATCTGACTGTGGTGGTAGTTGTACAACTGTATCCATTTGCTTTAACTCATAGAACTGCACACTAGAAAGGGAGAATTTCACTATATATACCTTACAGCTCAAGAGAGCTGATTAAAAAAGCAAAACCTGAAAGGCTAAAATGCTCCTAGAAGTGGGCAGTACTTTGGAAGCCCGAGAGGTATACTCTGACAGTCTGTAGAGTTTATATTTCTATGTGATAGCCTTTAAAAAGTAAATCAGAAAAATACTATAATACTTTAACTTCTAAAATCGAAGGAATCTATGTTAGTATACTACTAGAAGTAAAAACTTTACTATTAAGTAGAAAGGATTAGACTATATCAAAACTGCCCAGCTCTCATCCTAGATCCAACTGACTCAAAGCAATTCAAAACAACTTTTTGTTTGCTTATCACACCTACCTTTATGTTATTCAAATTAACTTCAACAAGACGAACATCATTTTCTTTAATTCTCTGTAAACTCTCTTCAACATTGGTTGGATTTGGGGGCTCATCAAATACTGGAAGAATCTTTTCACCTTTTACCACATCTGTAGCAACAAATGAAAAGAGCAAGAGTGTAACTGGTTGATACTATTACAGTGAATGCATATATTAACTTGGAAACGCACAGCACACATACACAAACATATTCAGTAGAACAAATTTATAAGTTTCTTTCCCCAAATTTATTTATTTTTTTTGTTTTGCGGTACGCGGGCCTCTCACTGCTGTGGCCTCTCCCGTTGTGGGGCACAGGCTCCGGACGCGCAGGCTCAGCGGCCATGGCTCACGGGCCCAGCCGCTCCGCAGCATGTGGGATCTTCCCAGACCGGGGCACGAACCCACGTCCCCTGCATCGGCAGGTGGACTCTCAACAACTGCGCCACCAGGGAAGCCCTCCCCAAATTTCTAAAAGATCCTTTATGTGCTCCCACATAAAGCACTGAAATAAAATTTTACTGAATATAAATACCAAACATAATTCATTTAATTTGTTTGCAGTGTATCAGCCTTCAAAAATGAGTATTTTCACTGCCTCTTGCCTCGGTGTATTACAAGATATCTTTACCATGAAAATATAGTTGATGACACAAGCTGGTGATCCCATTTATTTTTAGCAATGTTCAAGATAAAGTTCTCATATGACAAAATCTAACAACTCATCAGTTTCTCTGAGGTTTGACTAGTAATTAATTCAAAGGCAGTAAGAATCAGAGACATGAACAAACACAGCCTCCACAAAGAGTGAGTTGACAGAAGGACACACTGCCTGTTCCTCCTGTGGGGAGTACTATGCAATGGGAAAGGGCAGAGGACTCTTATCAGGAAGAAGAGTAGAAACAGGGAATGGGGAAACAGAGAAAGGTAATGGTGCATAGAAGAACTACTGAGACAGGAATTCCCTGCCCTCCTTCATCCTACAGCCCAATCCTTCACCATTTATACCCACACACATGGCCAGAATACAGCTATTCAAAACTGAAAGAGGACCCAGAAGGCTTGAACCCTCTAGTGAGATGTAAATGCGCTCTGAGGTATGTGTGGAGGTCCATGAACACCTATAACAGATAAACTTTTATGGATATATTTTCTGGAGAGAACACCTAGAGCATCAGATTCTTAAAGACGAGAATGACCACAACATTAAGAGCAAGTGACATGGAAAGACTGACAGGGTCACAGTGAGTCTGGCTTAGTTATTCCCTGCTGCCCTCCTCTAGCTTTTAGGAGCAAAACTCACCTTAAGACAAAGTATATTGCTTACTCATCCAATAAATTCCCTCTAAGAGTACCTTGTTCTTTTCAAATATCACGCGCGCGCGCGCACACACACACACACACACACACACACACACACACACACACACACACAGAGACACCCTCCTACACACAGCATCCTGAAGAGATCAGCTCAGACAAAAGTCTGAAAATTAATTTCCTGAAGACAGTTGAAAGATCAGCAAGGCAGTCTTCTTCAACATGGTAGATCAAGGGGACTGGAGAAAATCTTCCTCACTGAATGGAAAATTCAATGAGCTCTTCCTCAATTCTAAATTTTCTACAACCAAAAAATTCCTTTTGTTCTCTGCAGAATGCGTATAAAGAGCCTCGCTCTATAATGAAATAATGGATCCAGTCAACAGGATGTGGAAACCATTAAGAAAGGTTCATGGGGAACTTTAATTGGATGGATCAGGTTGCCAAAATTTGAGTCCACTGATCAATCTTAACACATTCCCCAAAGAGGAAGGACCAGACTTGATATACTTCCTAATGTGATTCAGTCATTACCCAGGAAGCATTCTTGCCAAAAAAAATTAAAAACTGCACCTGAATTTGATCAAGCTTCTAGAAAACAACAGTTTACAGAAACACAGGAGGTAGAGAGAAACAAGTAAAATGATACTACAAGGTTGCAATCAGCCAAATCCAGAATGTGGAAAATTCTACATGACAACACAGTTTCTTCAAGGGATAAATGCCATGAAGAAAGTGGGAAAGAAGCTGAGGAGGAGAGCTGTTAAGAAATTAAGAGGAACTTAAACCAAACGACAACCAAATGCAATATGTGACCCTTATCTTGATCCTGATTTGAACAAACCAGCTGTGAAATGACGTTTTTGAGAGAAAATGGGAAATCTGAACATGGACTGGGTATTAGATGATATGAAGGAATTGATGGTAATCTTTAAGTTTGATAATGGCATTGTGGTTATGTTACAAGAAAAGCCTTTGTAAGAGACACATATGGAAATATTTATGGGTGAAGTAATACAAACAAACAGGATTTGCTTTAAAATATTCCAGGGAAAAGAGTAGAAGGGGTGGGAGGGAGGCAGACGGTGGATGAAACCCAGCTGGCATAATGTGAAAAACAGCTGAAGCTGGACGATGGATATATTATTCCCTCTTCTATAATGTATGCTTGAACATTTCTACAATAGAAAGTAAAAAAATAGGGGAATGGCCAATTATAGAACATTCATAAAATGGAATGTTATACAGATGTTTGAATGAGGTAAGTCTGTATGTACTAACTAGGAAATGTGATATATTGCTAAGTGATATACTATATATAGCATGGATTAAAATCCTCAACACCGATTTTGTGGGATATTGAAGCTAGTTACTTAATCATTTTAAAACCTCAGCTCCTTCAAAGGCATATTAAAGATAATAATACTTGTTTCGTAGAACTGTTGTGAGGATTGAGAACAATTTACATTCAAGAGCTGTGCAAAGAACATGGCCCATGGTAAGCATTCAAAAAAATCAGCCAACAGTATTATTATTGAAAAATTCAGGGACAAGAAATATTTCTAGTATGATCCCAATTTTGTAAGAAAAGAAAAGACAATTCGTGTATAGCACGTATACATATGTAAGTTTATATAAGCATAATACAAAGTCTGGAAGGATATATTCCCAATTGTTAACAGGGAGGGGGTGGAGGTAGGGTACGGGGAGTAGGAGGCATGACGGCTGTGAATAGAGACACTTCTACTGCTTACCTTGTGCCCTCAGGTCTTGTTTAAATTTATTACAAAATAGGCATGACTTTGGTGATTTTTTTTTTTGCGGTTCATGGGCCTCTCACTGTTGCGGCCTCTCCCGTTGCGGAGAAACAGGCTCCGGATGCGCAGGCTCAGCGGCCATGGCTCACGGGCCCAGCCGCTCCGCGGCATGTGGGATCTTCCCGGACCGGGGCACGAACCCGTGTCCCCTGCATCGGCAGGCGGACTCTCAACCACTGCGCCGCCAGGGAAGCCCAACTTTGGTGATTTTAAGATGTCTTATAAATAAAATTTTTAAAAAGCTTTGCTTTATGTTATTTAATACTTTGCGTCAGACTAAAAGGTTTAGGGGCTGAATAGTTCTTTGCTTTCCCCTGAATCTGATTTTATAATATACTTTCTTTGCCAGCACTGTTGGGGTTTTCTTGAAAATCAGGAACACTGAAAACAAAATATCAGTAAAAGCCAAGTTTGACTAGTTTTTATAGCGTTTACCATTAGTATTATTTAGTGAGGTGAGAGTAGTTCCTATTACATTTGCTGACACATTAAGCATAAAATATTTAATATTCTATTCTCAATGGTTTTCTAGGTCAATACCATCTAACTGGAATCTTAGGTTTCAAGTACATATGCATAACATTTGGTATGCAAATACTGAAGCTATTACATGGAGAAAACAAAACATAATTAACAAAGGATTGGAATTCACAAAGCATTATAATTACTCACTTGAAAAATGTTCTTGGTCGACACCATTACTACTTCCCACTATATTGCAGAACTGTGTATTCGTTATCAAATTGTGCATCCCAAGAATAGCTATAAATATAGAAAAAGAAAATTATTTTTTTATGTCCATCAATTTTAAACATAAAGAATTAATTTTATGCCCCCAAATTTCTATCAACGATTTTAACACTCGCTGGGCTTTTGCCTACTCAATTAAATACACATTTCATAGCTTAAAAAAAAAGAGAGAAAACATGATTAAAAACCACCTACAATCTCTTTCTTATCAATACCCTTGTAATTTTTCTCCCCACATTTCTGAATTTAGACAGGGCTGGAGCCAGCTTAACCCTAAACCTAAGTCTATGCTTAGCTCCATCTGGTGGCCAAGAGAGAAAATGGAAATGATCTATTGTTGCTGTTCATCCTCAGAGGGTTTCTCCAAACATAATGCGATAAAAGGCAGATTTTTCAACTTAACCTTAACTCTCATATTAATTTACATTTGTATTTTAGCTAAGAGTAGAATACTAAAAGTATTGTTGAATTCTCATATTTAAGATTAAAGTAGCATCCCTCAAAAATGACACGTAGGAGGAGAAATAGATTTGGTTTTTGATGGCCTTTTGCACAAATAAGGCAGAAGCTACAGTATGCCTCTGGCCCATTCCACTCTGATAAATGTACCATTTATAAATCCATTAGCCCTCAGCCCACCCCAAGGAATAAGATACCTGCTCTAGCTGTGGTACCACACCTTGACTGTCCCTTCCCTGGGTCCTTCCCAAAGAACCATCATTGCTCCTTTTAAACATGTTAGTTCTTAAAGTTATTTGGTACTAACCTCTCCCCATGTGTCATATTTTTCTATCTAGAAAAATGGGTGTGGGTGGAGGCAGCTGGGGGCAGATACTGGTCCAGATAAGAAACTGGTAATGATGAAAATCACAGGGAGGTTTGGAATGTTCCATATATCTTCAGAAAAGTTGGGAAAGTGGTGAGTATAGCTCAGGATTGACTATTTTATCTAATTTCCAGTTACCCGTTTCTGGGTCTTCTAATAAAATGGGATAGCAGTAGACCCTGGAGACAGCTTCTAGCTGAGCACCAGCTGATGAAAGATTTTTATAAAGACTTTCAAAGATGGCAACATGGGAAAAGACATCCAATAATCAATAAATTCCATTAATATAAAAATTTCACCATTAAGAGAATTTAAAGAAACTAAATCCTTTATGTCAGATTTATAGTGTAAAAAACAAAGCCAAATGTACAGTTACTTATTCAACAGCGCTCTGCTGGGCAAAGCAAGCATTTGTATAGTGTGTATAAGGCGTGTGCTGGTATTTTCCTCCCCTCTACACCATTCACAAATTAATTTTTTAGGAGATACCTGCGAGATCACACAATTCTGTATCAGAAGCACTTGTCAAAGCTTCTTCTAGTTCTGGATCAAGAGATACTTTTTCTTCTGTAAAAGTCTGTACAGGTTTCTGCTTAGGGATAAATATTTTCCCTGTAAAATAAAGCAGTTTGTTAGTTTCATTACTACTGCTAGTAACTCACCATTTTATTCTTACAAAAATTATTAGAAGTATGTGCAGCTGAAGCTGAAGTAAAAGGTCAAGATTAACATCTACAATAATTTTGTTTCATCTTCGGTATGTATTTATAAGTTTCTAAGACAACACTTTGGCCATATAAGTTGGAACAAGAGAAAGAAATGAACCGAGAAATTTTCCCATTTGTGAAAGTAAAAATAGGCTCTTTTTGGAGTAATTATGAATTATTCTACAAATACTAAATCAAAAAATAAATGAATAAACAAAAAAAATCTATAAATTAAGGAAAAACCAATTCATTTTCTTATTCTTAAGCAAGGAACTGCTACAGTCCCTTGGGGGATGGCAGAGGCAATTCTAATTCCAGAAATTCAAGTTCTAATTGCAAAGAAATTCCTGTATGTCCTGAGTGGTAGTCTGAACCTTTCTGTCACTGTTCTTCTAAGCCTCTATGACACTAACAAGATTACCTGTTAAGGAACTAGTTATTCTAGAAACCTACAGTATTTATTATGTGAAAATCATATTTTATTACCATATGTTCAATGCAAAACTGAAAACATGAAGGGAATGGAAAATGATGATATAGCTGCAGCACAAGCCAACCAAACAAGAGGTACTTACACGTGGTGGGACTGTTACCAAGACTGACTCTGGTTTCCCCCCTGAGACAGGTGAAAATCCTAACTAAGTGATCTAGGAAGGCCTATGTGTGGATTCACACAACCTCCAATTATTTTCTTTTCTATCAGAAAATTACCAGGAAAATGTGTGAGAATATGTGACCTGATGAATCTATGTAGTGTTCTAACAAAAGAAATATTTGTGGGCTTAATAATCAGTGTAGTGAATGTTGTACAATTCTTGTTCAAGGTAAATATCAATCAGTGTAACTCATAAGAAATCCTTCCACAATACAGATTGCTCCCAGGAATCTGACCAAAGCTGGTCCGGTATTTTCAGCTAAGCCCATCTAAAAGATTTAATTTCTGATATTATATTTCTTTTTTTATTATTTCCACTTGGTTCTTGTTAAAAAAAATTAGCTTCCATCTCTCTGCCAAAATTCTTTATCTCTTCACACATGCCTTGTCCACCAGATTTTCTGAGATTTTTATTATAAAGTTCCTGACTGATAACACCAATACTTGGGTCATCTCTGGTCTTCTATTGACTGTTTACTTTTCTTGACTATAGGCCACATTTGTTTTAAGATCTCTGACTTCGTATTGGGCATTTTTGTATAAAAGTATAGCAGAGACTAAAGCAAACGACATTTATTCCTAGAAAGGAATGTGCCACTCAGGTCAGTGCTGAAGTAACATGCTCTACAGTTGAGCTGAATCTGGGCTTTTTGTTGCAACGTTAGTTTGATTCATTTCCTCACTGGCTTCAAACATTTTTTTTTGGCTTCAAACATTTTGAGGACAGGATCAGGACTTAATCTTCAGCAAGGCCTAGGATTAGAACTCTGGTGAGGTTCTGGAGGTCTGAGCAGCCACTGCCTACTGTTTTGAACTGTAAAGTAGCCACATTGCTCCTGATGTGTAGTCCTGGCTGCCAGATTTCTAGGAGCTCTGTTTTCCAGTTCCACCCCCCACTTTCCCACTTTTGGGGCCTTGGCAGATCTTTCAGCCCGACGCTTATGTTGTCTGCTCTACACTTTGTGAAGTGGGAGATGGCCTGAAAGGGATTTCTCGCAGCTCTCCTGTCTCTCTCTCAATCTTCCGAGCTAAAAACCTATGCCTCAGGAGTTTTCTCTCAGCTCTGCTTCACTGCCTCAGTTCTTGGAGTAGTATCCCTCGCACTAAATGAAGGCCTGAAGCAAAGAACTGGAGGGTAGTGCAGTCTCACCCTGTCTCTAGAGCTGCACTGTTCAATATGATATGTTCAATATGGTATGTGACTATTTAAGTTTAAATTAGTTAAAATTTAAAATTCAGTTTCTCAGTCACACTAGCCGCATTTGGCTAGTAGCTACGATACTGGTTAGCGCAGATACTGAACATTCCCATCATGGCATAAAGTTCTACTGGACGGTGCTGCTCTAGGGATTCTCTAATTTCTAATCTACCATGCCGGCCCATACACAGCCATTAAAAGTTTAAAAGTTAGGCTGACTTCTCCTTACTCCTCTCTATGGTAGTTTCCTCCTTTTCCCTATATTTCAGCCAGGAAAGAACGCAGAATGGATCACCTTTTTCTTTTTTGGATCACCTCTCTTATGGAGGGCTTGCCACTTTCTGGAGCCACTAAGATTTGTGTCTTCAAGCTTTCTGATTTTTTTTTTTAACTATGATTAATGTAGCTTATATTGCTTGTTTTGGTGAGAATAAGAGGTCTCTTGCAACTTCCTACATCTGAATCAGAAGTCTTTCTAGGCAAGTATTTTCTTATTTAAAAAATGGCACTTGGCCAATCTACAATGTATTTATATTAGTAAGGATGCTTTTAACTGCATATAACAAAATACCCAATTTAAAGTGGTTTAAACTGGTGCTTCTCAAGCTTTAATGTGAATGTCATCTACCTAGTGATCTTATTAAAGTGCAGATTCTGATGTAGCAGGTCTAACATGAGCTCTAAGAATCTGTATTTCTAACCAGCCTCCCAGGTGATGCTGATACCGCTGATTTCACAGATCACTGTCAAAGCAGCATGGGTTTAAACAATAAGTTTTTTTGTTTTGGGTTTTTTTTTTTTGCGGTACGCAGGCCTCTCACTGCTGTGGCCTCTCCCGTTGAGGAGCACAGGCTCCGGACGTGCAGGCTCAGCGGCCATGGCTCACAGGCCCAGCCGCTCCGCGGCATGTGGGATCTTCCCGGACCGGGGCACGAACCCGTATCCCCTACATCGGCAGGCGGACTCTCAACCACTGCGCCACCAGGGAAGCCCAACAATAAGTATTTTTTATCTCACTTAATAACTCCACAGGTAGGTGGCTGAAGGGTTGGTTCAGCATCTCAATGTTGACGTCAAAGATCCAGGCTCTGTTTTTCTCTTTGTCTATAACTAGCATGGAAGCCTCTGTTCTCAGGCCATTAGTCTCAAGATGACCGTTGTAATACTACGTATCACATCCTCATGCGGCAAGGTCAGGGCAGGAAGGAAGGGCACTTTCTCAACTGCTGACTTTTATAAGGAAAACTGTCCGATAGATTTCTTCTCTGGTCTCGCTGACCAGCACCAGGTCACATGTCCATGCCCCACCTGCAAGGGTAGCTTGAAAAGCAAGCATCTGGCCTTTTCAGTCTATTTCAGAGATGGATTCTGCCAGTAAGGAGGAAGGAATTTTGTGAATGGTTGTTAAATAGAAAACTACCACATTTGTCCCAATGCTGAACCAGATGAAGTACACTTCTGTGCTCCCTTAATTCCCTGAACATTTCACTGTGGCTACACTTACTCATTTTGCATGTTTGTCTGTCCTCTGTGAGCTTTTCAATGTTCTGTTCCATCCTTATATTTCCATCCCTACATTGTCTGTCCTCTGTGAGCTTTTCAACGTTCTGTTCCATCCTTACATTTCCTAGCTCACAGCAGGCAATCCAATTAGTTGAATAAATAATCTGGTGATCACCTCTAGCTCAACTACCTCATTGTATAAAGTATAATATAAATACCCTGGTTCAAAGTTACACAGCAGAGTTAGCACTAGAACACAGGTTCCCAAACTCTCAACCCAGTAATTTTTCCAATAAACTGGTGGCTTTCAAACTTAACTCTTTAGCAGTGGACTTTTCAACTCAAACAAATGCTTATCTATATGGTGGAATGTAACTGATCTTCTTAGCACCAAACTTTGGAGTTCTGGTGATTATTAGATAACCTTTTATCATTAGTTCACAGATGAAGGCAAATCCAAATCATTACATTCTGATAATTCCTTAATACTTTTCACAGTGGCTGATATAACAAAGTGGCATACAATTCAGATGGCATGCCTTTAATTGCCATTTCAGGATAATTACATTTTCCTGAGCAAAATCTTACCTCCGTGGCTAATGTTGGCTGCACAATGGATTCACCTGGAAAATTTTAATAAATTCTGATGTCCAAGTCCCACCCCCAGAGATTCTGATTTAACTGGTCTGATGTGCTGTATGGGACATCTGGATTTTCAAAAGCTCTCTAGGAATTCTAATGCATAGGAGCCAAGGTCAAGAAACATTGGATTATGGTATTCACTTAGTAAACAAAACTATATAAACTATCAAAAAGCTGCCTATGTCTTATTCTAGGGACCAATGGAATCTAAAGCGCTATAAAAATCTAAAATGTTTATTTTTGTAATCCTCATCCACAGTCCATAGAGACATTATTCTTTTTCTTTTCTTTTTTTTTTGCAGAAGGGAGTTCCAATCCCCCATCAGCATGTTCTTTCTTTCTTTTTTTTTTTTAATGTTTATTTATTTGGTTGCACCAGGTCTTAGTTGCGGCAGGCAGGCTCCTTAGTTGCAGCTCACCAGCTCCTTAGTTGTGGCATGCAAACTCTTAGTTGCGGCATGCATGTGGGATCTAGTTCCCTGGCCAGAGATCGAACCCAGGGTCCCTGCACTAGGGGTGTGGAGTCTTAACCACTGCGCCACTGGGGAAGTCCCGAGGCATTATTCTTATCTAATTTTTCCCCATACATAAACTTTTGCTAATACTTACAAATACAAAATGGATCTCATCAGAAAAAACAACAAAGCAAAACAAAATTTCCAAGGGCTTATGGAAATGCTGTGACACAGAAGTTTGCTCTATTTATACAGCTGTGAAATAATTCGGTACCTCTTCTGATACTCTTTACAATTTCTCTGTATGTAGAGATTTTTGTTGCAGAGGTATTTAGCTTATACAGTATTATGTTTTTAACACTACAAAAAGTAATCACTTCATATTTCTTCATGATTAAACATGAATACACTGTAAGAATTATACTTCAATGCGTATATATAAAACCTTGTTA